TAATAGGTACGGAGAGTCAACTAAATTATGAATTATTTTGTAAAGAAAGAGCTGATCTCTTTGTTCTCTACGCTTTTCTAGGGAAGTAGTATTACTAAAAGAAGCAGAGCCAAATCTTTTTTTTAATCTTTTTAAAAATTTATTTTGTATTTTTTCAATTAAGTCAATATATTTATTATATTGTGGATTCCAAGCTGTAGACGCGTATTCCAGATTAGCCCTAACATAAGCATTATATAGCAGTATTAGTGTATGAGCATTTTTAAAATCTGCCCCTTGCCTAAATATAAAGCCTAGCATCTGATATGACTTAGTTGCTACATGATTTATATGATGATCGAATATGATTTTACTATCCAACTGGACTCCAAGGTCCCTTACCTCTGTTACTCTTTTTAAATTAGCGTTCGAGATTGAATAGTTATAAGAAATTTGTTTTTTTTTCTTGAAAAAGTAATTGTGTAGCATTTTTCTAAATTCAAATATAGACTGTTGGATCTGCAATACTGTTCGAGTCTATTTAGATCGTCTTGCAGGCCAGCACAATCTTGCTTATTCTTTATAATTTTGAATATTTTTGTATCATCTGCATACAATAATATATTTGAATTTAAAAAGCATCTATTGATATCATTAATGAATATATTAAAGAGTAAAGGTCCCAAGTGCGAACCCTGAGGCACTCCTGAAGTAATTGGAACAAAGGAAGAGGTAAAACCTTTAATTGCCACAGCCTGGGATCGATCACGTAGATACGATGCTAGCCATCGAAGCAGATTGCCATGTATGCCGATGTATTCAAGTTTTTTTATTAGAAGGTTATGTGAAATTTTATCAAAAGCTTTTGAATAATCAAAAATTTTATTTAATTTAATTAATTAGATTTTATTTTTAAAACATACGATATCTCGATACGATGATACGATGTCTCGATACTTTTATGTTTGACATAATAGCGAATTTACGGGAGGTACAAAATGTTTATTTTTGTATTCAATTATAAAAGTTACATAACATAACCGTCTTATAAAATTTTCGTATCAAATTATACGATGTGGCAGCCCCGCACGGTTGTCTACCGAGTGTATACCTAACGCGACGCGCGTAGTATAACTCAATTTCCGACCTTTTGTATGAAGATGGAATACTGTATGTAACATTACCGTGTCTTCAGTGCTTCGTTCATTCGGCGAATACAGTAAAGGTACCTTACATATCATGTCTATTTGCACACAATCACCTGAATAAACTAATCTATCGACCTCGACCGTCTTCATTGTTTATAGAGCATTTTAAATATATGCATGATCTTAAATAATATGAATCGTCTCTTCCTACTACTCCTTTATGAAGTGTCATAAGTGATAAGATAATCCATTCGGTACTCACTTCATTAGACTAATTATAAAAAAATATATATGCCTTCACTAGCGACTCACCCTCGCTTCGCTCGGGTTCGCAACTAGACACACAAAAACAAAACTATCCCACTGGAACCGTACATTTTTCCGGAATAAAAGTAATATTGTAAAGTTTCATTAAAATCCAATCAGTAGTTTTTGTGTACTAAGTTGTATAAGTTACTATAGTTTCTTAACTATCCCACGGGAACTCTTTAATTTTCCGGGATGAAGAGTATCTAAAATGTTGACCGGGGATAAAAGTACCACCATGCAAATTTTCATTTAAATCGGTCCAACAGTTTCGGAGATTAGCCCGAATAAACAGACAAAGAAAATAAAAAATAGAAAAAAATCTGGATTTGTTCTATTTCTCTTCTTCTTGGTTTTTAGATTTTTTTCTAAGTACAGACATTCGACCTCTACAGATTCATTATATGTATAGATAATATAAGCGTATGAATAAAATGATATGAATTACTTACCCTAAACTTATCTTATTATGCCAACTTATGATATTCGCTTCGGGTTCGTCCCTAGACAAAAACAAATCGATCCCACGAGAACCGTACATTTTTCCGGGATGATATATAGCCTTATAGCCTTCCTACATAAACGGGATATATAATGCAACAATATTTTTTCAAATCGGATTAGTATGGGATTAGCGCGTTCAAACAAACAAACAAACAAAAAACAAACTCTGCCTCTTTATAATACTAGTTTAGATATCAATTTCTATGATGTAAAATAAAATTAGAGGCAAAATGTTTTAAAAATTATCACTATCACGATAAGCTTTAAAATTAAATCAATGTTTAACTTGTCTGTAAGGACAACGTGTGTTGCTTATAATCAATAAAAGAAACTAAGAAAGTAAATTTCAAGTTAAATCAATAAAATTTTAAAACTAAATGAATGAATTTTACTCTAATCTATTAGTACAATACAAACAGCAATTGTAAGAGTTTGTTGTGAGTAAATAATAATTCATTCGCTTTAACTTTTCACGCTTACGTTGTGAGATATTATGGGATTTCGTCGAATCGTTTTATGAACATTAAGCAATTTTGTACCAATTTTATACAAATAATTATATTAAATTTTACTTATAATCGAAAAATTATTACTTTTGAACTATGAATATTAGTAAATTTTTATAATTATACTAGCATTGCCCGCGGCTCCGCCCGCGTTCAGATGACCAAAAACCAAATTAGGCTTTACATATTAGTATACTCTTACATTGCAGTTTTTGTATTTTTTATCAGAAATGAGATATTTTCCCGCGGTAAAAAGTATCCCATATATTGATGAGCCGGATAGCCAGCTATCACCATACCAAATATTATCAAAATCCCTCCAGTGGTTTTCTGTGATGCGGTAACAGACAGACAGACAAAAATTCTAAAAACTATAGATTCGGCCTCTGTATCGATAATAAAGTCTATTTCAATAAGATTTTCCAAAAACTATTTAATGTACAGATTCGGCTTAGTTACAATTTTATTATATGTATAGATTATCATGATAATTATAATCAATATTGTTGCAAAAATTTTCGAATTAGTACGTAGTAGAAGTACATTTGACAGTCGGGAGTGCATGATTGATTGATGGGGATAAAAGTACCACCATGCAAATTTTCATTTAAATCGGTCCAACAGTTTCGGAGATTAGCCCGAATAAACAGACAAAGAAAATAAAAAATAGAAAAAAATCTGGATTTGTTCTATTTCTCTTCTTCTCGGTTTTTAGATTTTTTTCTAAGTACAGACATTCGACCTCTACAGTTTCATTATATGTATAGATAATTTAATAATATTTATATTATCTATACATATAACCTATAATAATTATATGTATATATAATATAGTTTTCTGTGATGCGGTAACAGACAGACAGACAGACAAAAATTCTAAAAACTATAGATTCGGCCTCTGTATCGATAATAAAGTCTATTTCAATAAGATTTTCCAAAAACTATTTAATGTACAGATTCGGCTTAGTTACAATTTTATTATATGTATAGATTATCATGACAATTATAATCAATATTGTTGCAAAAATTTTCGAATTAGTACGTAGTAGAAGTACGTTTGACAGTCGGGAGTGCATGATTGATTGATGCGCACTGATGCGCACGATTGGCCTATCTAATGCCCTCGTTAGATGACTATGTGTATGTATTGGTAAATTGTGCTAAAATATTGTACAAATTTTAATTAAAATCTAAACATTATATTTAAGCGAGTTTGAATTGCTGTTTTATTGGCTGCTAATAAAACCTACTACCAAAAGGTATTAAAAAAACATAGGAAAAAAATACAGGATAGGTGCAGTTCTATCTTTATAATATGTGTATCATGTATGTATGGTCTCTCTTTTGAATAAGTGTAGATAACACATTGTCATAGTTGGATAACTCTGTCTCTAGTGTTCAACAACTTCGATTGCTTGGTTGTTTCATCGGTTACTTCGGGCAAAAAAACCAGGTTTCTATGCATACTCGGCTTCTGGATCTCCGAAACAAAGTATTACGTATGCAAAACGACACACTCACAGAGTGAGCCATTAATTACGATCAATTAATGTAGCAACTAGACGTATATCTATATGTAGAAATATGAGCGTACATATATTTTTTTGTTTAGATACTTATATTATACCAATTATCGTATAGAAATATTGTAGGTCAAGCACGAAAACGTCTACGAAAATCGTCTTCATAAAATATATATATGTATATAATTATATTGCACATTTTTATATATGTTGTTCAAAATTATAAGCATTTAAAATTGTATTATAGTTTTTATTTATCAGTGTAATGCATATCAAATTTTATGGATTATTATAATAAGTAATATTTTCATTAAAAATTTCATTTGAATATTGAAGAAATTTTTTTTTTTATATAAGTATAAAATAATAGCAAGTTAAGGTGGAGAAGCATAGATTTATGACTAAGCTGTACTATATAATTACATACATAAAATATTTACTCAATGTCGTTTCGACTAACTATGCCCAGTTAGGTCTTGATTGTTATTAACAAGAGATTGGTCTCAATGAACAGTTAATTTATTCGTGCAAGGCCTATAAAAGGAGTATGTTTATTTTGAAATTATTTTATTATATTATTTAATAATAGTTACTGTATGTGTATAAAATATAACTGTATTAAGCTAAAGTAGTCGAGTAAAGTCATTTAACTTTATTAGTAAATGTTAGATAAAAAATTACTATGTTACATGCTAATGGTATACTATATATATAGATAGTCCTTAAATATACAGAAATATTGACTAAGTTTTCTTATGTATTAGTAGATATCTCAACTATCGGGACTTCCCATGTTGCATAACAGTTGACATCTTACCTTATATTTGCGGTTCGTAATGGAACATAAATGTATTTAATATGTATGTACATTGACTGAATCAGTCTTAGATATAGAGTATCTATTCTGAATTAGTATAAATCCCAATTATATGTACTTTTAATATATGTATTATAGTATGAATATTTTTTTACTAAAATTACTACACTGTTTGTGTTGGAATATATTTTCTTACAATGATCATTTTTTACACCAGAATCGCGCAGCCCGTTTTCCTCGGATGGCTGGTTGAATACTACAGTCCTGGTCAGCATACGGTGGAGAGAAAAGATGCTTATATATATGCGGCGGCAGTGGTTCTATGTTCTGCGATTAACGTATTTGTAGTTCATCCCTATATGATGGCTATTCTGCACATGGGCATGAAGTTCAGGGTCGCTTGCTGTTCGCTTATATATAGAAAGGTGAGTTTTTCTTAAATTTTAGAGTAAAGAATACACAAGTTATTTTTTATAAACTATTCGCGTTTAAAAAGTATACAAATAAATAAAAAATGTAATAGATAGCAAGTACGTACTTAATTGTATAAACATAAAATAAGTTTATAAATATAAGTGTAAATATATAAATATAAGTTTGTTTAATCCTACTTATATAAACGAAAATCATGTAAAATACACACCGAATTGAGAACTTAAAAAGATAAGTCCTTGTACGAATATGTACTCGTAGCGGATATCCACGTCATTTGTCCATCTGTCTCATTTAATTGCTGAAAATAGCACCAATTCTGTTGTTTTGCCCTAATCAGTTATAAAAATGTATGTAAGGGCATAATTAATATTAAAATAGAAATCATTATACCAAGCATCTTAGGGGGTTTCAGATTTTAAAAAGAAATAATAGAAAAATAAAAATTAGGAGAAGTCAATGACTAGAAACGAGTATTCATTGTGCCGTTAATGGCGTGCGAAGTAACATTAGACCGAGACTCCTGTCTGGTGCTATTAACAATGAAACTGAAAAATATGTTAAAATCTTCATTATACGAGTTTATCTTTATAATATTATTAGTTAAAAATCATCAATAACACTTTAAATACTTTTTAAATACTAAATTTACTGACCTATCATATAATGTACATAGGTATATTATGTAATATCTACATATTATGTATGTATCACTATGATAATTCACATTATTGTAAGTTGTGTGCAAGTCATCGTTACCTTATGTCATGTGTGACGTAGCTCTATAAATGCCATATTAATTTCTTGAATGGCCATGAATTGAATTTAAATTTAGATGGGACCTGTTAGTTTCATACTCAAACAAAAATGGTAAATAAGTACCGCTTATGCAGAAATAATTTTCCATTCTTTAGCTTATAGATACGTCACATGTTACATAAGTTTTTTAACTTGACGCCACGTTTGGCTCAGTTTGTAGTAACGCTACTTGCTGTGCCAGCGGTCGCGGGTTCGAGTCCCGCTAGGGGCATTCATTTGTGTGATGAGCATGAATGTTTGTACTCCAGTCATGGGTATTTATATTTATAATATGTATGTTTTTAAAGATATATAAGTGTAGTATATCAACTATCTGGTATCCGTAACACAAGTTCATTGTTGCTTCGTATAATAAAAATATCAATTGATTGTAGAACATAATAAAAATGATGCTTTTTACATATACCTATTGTATAAATAAAATACACAAGACATTTTTATATTATATCCTATACAACGACATTAGAAAGAAAATAGTCGCCAAAGAAGTAGTTTATTTTTAACGCTTGGCTTTCACATAAAATAAAAGAATATTTTTTATTATTTTTGACCGTATTTTATTAAATTAAAATAGTAAAAAGTATTTTTTAACCTTGTCTTTACGTTGTAACCAGTCTCTTAGGTTATCGAAAACAGCGCTCGGTGAAACCACTGTTGGGCAAGTGGTGAATCTTCTGTCCAACGATGTGAACCGTTTCGACGTTGCCGTCATTTTTGTGCACTACCTTTGGATCGGGCCCTTGGCGACAGTAATTATTACGTTCTTCATGTGGAAAGAGATCAATTGGGCAGCATTAGTTGGCGTAGGGTTCATGCTGGCATTCATACCATTACAGGGTAAGTTATCTTTTTTCATGTTTGCATAATATGTTAAACATTACGTACAAATTGATTTATATATGTGAAATCATGCATTATGTTTCCTTCTGGGTTATATAGAAATATTGCGCGTATTGTTTCCAAGATATCCAGGCACCTATATTTTGCCTTAAAGACTGAAAGAGACAAATTATAATCATAGTATATCCGCGTTGACGTCATACACAGCGCAAGACGTCATTACCTACATAATAACAGTTATGTACTTAATATAAACCAGTGTAATGCAGTACAGAATACGTTAAGTGTTTTAACTTTAATAATATTACCCATCAAAAACATAAATGTGAAAATGAGAGCCAAGTTCAATATTAAGAATATGCGTGTGGACTTCGCTGATAAAATAATTGAATCTAAATGGGTGCCAAGTTCTGTAGATAATCCTGATTTTTTTAAAAGAACTTACAACAATCTAAAATAAATTTAAGACACAGTTTCTTGTATTTTCTGCTAGAAAAATAGAACTTCCTAAATTTCGTCGTATTGTCATCGTCTTCCAGTCGTATGTCGAATTATTTACACAGAGTAGATAACTTAACAAGCCAAGTCAAATCTTGAACTTCAATTTATCCTAAGTTGTTTATGTTTTTGATGGGATATCATGACTTTTTTAAAGGAACTATTATTATTTATAATTCCAAAGTGATTTGTAAATCCAATCTTTTTTTCATAATTTTGCGACTATACGTTAGTGGATAAGGCGAAATAGGAAAATGTGATTAATCATCATGGAACCTTTTCTCCTGAGAAAGAAAAAGTTTTTGCTATTACTATGATTGCTATTGCTATTATATTTCAGAAGATACTAGTTGTTAACGTTAACCTATTGTTATTATGTTTTGGAAGGCGTAAAATGTTAATAAAAATTATTATTTTTTTCAAATTTTAAAAGTTTACTGTTTTCGGATTTTTCCCTTTGTAAGCACACGATTACCCACCTGGACACGAAATTTTAACTTTCTAGGTCATGTGGAAGTGGGTTAGGTTTTACTACTATATGTCAGTCAGTCAGTGATAAAAATACCGATTTTTAGACGTTAATATCTCAATAACCGTTTGAGCTGTATTTATGAAATTGGATATTCAAGTTAATTTAAGGGGATTTAATAAATGAATAAAATTTCGTGAGTTTATGTTAAATAGATTTTGAATTATTACGAGGTGAAAAGTGGCTCCAAATGGTTTGTGTAAATATACACAAGGTGCTGCGTCGCCAGTTCCTTTGGCTTGAACTTTGCTGGACACGCTACCGCGTGTCTTGATTACACGTATTACACTTTACACTATTTTAAAATCAATATTGACTAGTTCTACTATAATATTACTTTAGGATATTGTGACTGCGTCTTCCTCAATATGATAAAGTGCTTATATCACATAAGTGTTTATATTATGTAAAGTGCCCTGAAATATTAGATTATTTCGCTTTAGGAAAATAAACAAAGCAAAATGTTGTCGCTTAGTGAAACGCCATTGACTTGAAACGAATTACAAACTATTGATCGTTTCTTATCTATTAGCACAGCAATGTACTAATATATACACGAAGCCAGATTGTTAACGTTTGTTTTTTTATGCAGTAGAAATGTATCTTTAGAATAAAGTAATATAAAGATATTTTCGTTGATGCTAATTTAAAATGAATCCTTGAAAGTATTAAACGTTTCTTGATTACTTACATATATTTAAATTAATAACTACTAAGATACCTAAGTAGGTACTTATTTATAAGATTTTATCTACGCGCAACTAACTTCTTTATATATTTTTCTTAGTTACTAATTTTAACAGATTTGTTCTAAAATGTCTCCTGTTGAGACAGTGTTCAAAAATTATATCCTTAAAATATATCTCACAACTAATTAATATACCTATAGATATACCTACTAAATTAAAAGAGCTCATTTTATCTGTGAAAACTTAACGAACAATCACAATTAAGTTTGTTATGTGGAAATTATATAAATTATTATTAATATAAATTAAAATTAAAACTTGAATTTACGATTGCGATTAAATGAAAAACTTCCTGATGACATTTCATTCTCCGCGATACAATTAATAAAGATTGAGGTTTTTTTAATACAATCTAGAATTATTTTTGTTAATTATATTGGCTAGGTTTTATCTAATTGTTTGTTTTGACATTTTCATCTCATTAGGTGGTGTTTTTTAAAAACGTACTTTCCAAAATAATAAAAAAAATGACCCTTGTGCATTCTGCATTGGTAATGGTTGATAAACGTTTCAATAATTAAAATATATTTTTTTCTTTTACAATTATGTTTTAAATTATTTAAATATTTAGATATAAAATCAAGATTAATTCTACGTGACATTGACGAAGTATTCTGTGCTCAACGGGCACGCTTTGAAGCCATTAACAAGAGAATTGAATTGAAATATAAAGAAATGATATGAATAACACATACATGTATTAGAAGTTGGGACATGCAGTACGAATGGCAGTACCTGGAATTACAAAGCCAATACTGACGTGGATTGAGAGAGGCCCGGTTCATTCAATACCACTAACTCCCGGGAGCATGTTCTATTGTTGATATAATAAGAAAAGGACAGAAAATCTTTGCTGTTAAGAGCATTTTTAGTTCTATGAGAACTGAAACTTTTTAAAATACTAATAAAAGTGTCGTATATGTTTATTCAGCTGCAGGTAGCGATGCGATTCAACAGACAGACAAAAAAAATGTAAAAATTATTGATTTTGGTTCTATAACATCATAAACCCCATACAAACACAAATAGAAAATTTTTCAACGTGTCACACTGTTGACCCCGTTATGGTTTAGTACGAGCGTTATTTTTATTTATAACCTATATGCTCAAAAGCTCGATAACTTTTCATAAAATATAACAAAAAATGTTGTAAATAATTTTTTAAATATATTAGCATATGACAAATTATCTTGTCATATGCTAATATATTTTTTCATATTCGAAATATATTTTATATGCTAATATATTCAATATTATCATAATAACATTTAGAGCGTAACAAAAATGTCCCACGACAGAAAAGTCATTCAGTGCATTGATCTATTTAAAAACAAACTCCGATAATAACAAGGGCGTCTTTAAACACATACCTAAGTAATAATTTATATTCCACAATTATGCAACGGTTATTGACTTGGTTATAGAGTTACGTTTTTATTACATATTTTGAAGTTTTTAATAGTTTTAATATCTATTTTATTGCAGTTTCTTGCGCAGTAATCTTTGTTTCATAATTTTGTATCATTATTGACTTTTGTTTACCTTTGCTCTTTACGAGACCAAGAATACAAAAATAAATATTTTCGTTTATTTACGTTACAAAGTTTTTTCAGTAGCGATTAATACATACTAGTATTATAAATGTGAAAGTTTGTGAGGATGGATGGATGGATGTTTGTTACTCTTTTACGTCACAACGGCTAAACGGATCTGGATGAAGTTTGGCACAGAGATAGATTATAGTCTGGAATAGCACATAGGTTACTTTTACTCCCAAAAAATGTAGGGTTCCCGTAGGATAGATTTGTTTTTATCTATGGACGAACTCGAAGAGAAGCGAAGGTGCGTCGCTAGTATGTTATATGTATACGAATTAGTATCTTATTATATATTAGCGACTCACCCTCGCTCCGCTCGGATTCGTCCCTAGTTACATTTAAACGTTTAGTATTGATTTCTCAGAGATGAGATATTTTCCCACAGTAAAAAATATCCTATGTATATGTTGACCCAGATAACCAGCTGTCATCATACCAAATGTCATCAAAATCTATCCAGTGGTTTTCTCGTGATGCGGTAACAGACAGGCAAAGATTCTAAAAACTATAGATTCGGCCTCTATATCGATAATAAAGTCTATTTCAAAAAAGATTTTCCAAAAAATATTTAATGGTCAGATTCGGCGTAGTTACAATTTTATTATATGTACCTACCTATAGTTATATGTGTAGACTTAAGATAATCATTTTTTAATAAGTGCATCCTATAACCATTGGATTGGGCCCAAGTTAGCAGTGTTTTAAATACAGATTAAGAGTAAAACCTATGGTTTTAACAAGTATCACATACGAGTGATATTTGTTAAAACCACAGATTTATATTTTATTTATTGTAACGTCAGTGTGGCGCCGCCCTACTTTCGTGCTTATAAATTTGCTGGTATCGAATTTGATACGGTGTGGTCTAAATAATAGAAATAGTTAATACTCATACAGATATTATTCTCGGATCAGTTAAGATGGAAAGCGTATTATTTAATAAATTTATGGAAAGTGGTTTTTTGACTTTGGAAAGCATTAGAAGAACGCACATCGTAATGTAACTACGAACAGCCCAAGTATAAAACTTACAAAACTATTCCCTATCCCTTTCCTATAATGTAGCATATGGCACTTTTGACCAAATTCTCTACGGGATAAGGCCGTTCTTCTTATATTATCACACACATACGAAAACTTTTGCTTTATAGGATAATAAGTTGCTTATGAACATCTCTCCTAAATCCGTAATTAAAACCCCGTTAAAACTGGCTCAGCTGGTATTATCTGATATCGACAGCCTTACAAGCTTGTTTATTACGATTCTAAGCTTTTCTTTTGTCATACAAACAATCATATTAAGCGCACATTATGGAAGGGCGATTTAAATTACAGACAGACATTTCAAATTTATTCCTAGGTATTAGTATGTTTTCAATATGGACCAATATAAAACTGGTCCATGGATTCAGAGAAATCAGTGTTCGATTATTGCACGGCGTGAGAATTTTGTATTCATGAAAATATGTGTATTATTTGTATAGCATACATCCATACATACTAACATTGTAAATGTGAAAGTGTGTTTGTTTGTTTGTCTTTCTTTCACGTCGAAAAGGGCTGGAGAGTTACATAGGCTACTTTTTATCGCGGGAGATTACTTAATTCCCACAGGAAAACACGTTACAATACAATCCAAAAAACTATTTATTATCAGAATTACTTGAAACTTGGTATATATACTGTTCAATAAAATTAAATAAATACGTGTCTAAGCATTTTCAAAAGTCATCCTATAAGGTGGTAAAACAGGGGATGAAATTTGTATGAAACTACCTTTTTAGAGATATTTTTGTAATTCTTGCGAAGCCGCGGGTTCTGCTAGTATATTTATGTTTTGATAGTCTGGTCACGACAAAACACCAAGATCCAACATCTACTATTTATCATACATTATTTTCATATAAATTAACAAAAAAAGAAAAATAGGTTAATATCATTATTTTTATCTCTATCTATTAATTATATGTACGTTTTAACCACGGTAATGTAATGCATTATTACCGTGTTTTAACGGTTAGTATGAAATACAAATCTTTGAATTTCTCGGCTTTGCTGTACTATAATATACCTGTATTATACATATAAACCTTCCTCTTGAATCACTCTATCTATTGCTGAAAACTGCATTAAAATCTGTTGAGTAGTTTAAAAGATCTAAGCGAACAGACAGCGGAAATGACTTCATTTTATACAGTGTAAAGATTGAGATTTGAAACGATGACATTGATGACATGTTTTTCTTTATTTTTTACATAGCATATCTAGGCAAGCGTACATCCGTTTTACGATTAAAAACGGCATTACGTACGGATGAGCGCGTCAGACTCATGAACGAAATCTTATCGGGGATCCAGGTCATTAAGATGTACACGTGGGAAAAACCCTTCGCGGATCTTGTTGCCAAGGCGAGGAAGTAAGTGATTATATTTAATTTTGGTTATAATTAACAAAGCCAAAAAGTATATTCACGAAGGAACATAGCATAATACAGTCGGAGCTATATTACAGGATATCGGAATCCGGGTTATTCGATAGAGTCTATGGTAAGGATAAAATCTCTCGAACAAATATTGTATCTTAGAATTAATGAAAACCATGAAATCCTACAATTTACATGTATCGACTCGAATTAATATCGTGGAACAAACGCTCTATTAATTCGATAAAATAGTGATAGTGTCCTTTTTTATATTTTTAGTTGATTCGATTCCCGGTTCAAGTAAGCTTTTTCTAAAAAAAATATGTATTTATTATATAATTTTTAAATAAAGTAACGTTTTCTTCCATGTCCCATCCATTTGTTCCATCCTGTATACGTACATGTTTTATACTTCTTGGGAGTCTTGCTACTTATATGTATGTACATATGTATGTCTCGGACAGCACATACTAATTAGTAATTACTATGTTCCTTCGTCGTTTTGTAAATATTTTTTTACTTACAGCTGTTTTAGTGTTGACCAGTTAGACACTTGAAGTTTTATTTTGCTATTTATTAACCAAAATTACTTTTAAACATATGTATATATTTTCATGGTCACCTCTTAAAACAAAAGGTTTGAAAGAAAAAAAAGGCACACGAATTTGCGACTTGAATCCGCCATTTTAATTTTTTCTTAAAACTTTGGTTAATTGCTATACACATTTATTAATATTTATTACCAAACCAAATCTAGACACGAGACTAAACTTAGACTTAAAACCAAAGACAAGTTAAATGTTTTATAGATAATTTTATGAATTCTCATGTTTTATTGCAGGCAAGAAATAAAACAGATCCGAGCTACTTCTTACATCCGCGGAGTGTTGACTTCTTTCATAATGTTTACTACTCGGATTTGTTTATTCTTTTCAATTCTCGCATACGTGATGGAAAATAACGTTATAAGCGCCAAACAAGTGTTCGTGGTTACCAGCTTCTATAATGTTCTTAGGCAGACAATGACTGTATTTTTTCCACAAGGTGAGTTTTTTTTAGTTATGTTATATAAATATTATTGTTATATTTTATTATTTATAATTAAGACGGCGCGGCGGCCGGCGTTGTCTATTGCACCAAAAGTTTAAAGACTGAAATAAGACATGCTTTTAACCGACATCGATGTATTAGAAAAACTAGATCATAAACTCAAAGATTATATTATACTATACATATAGTAGCTGTGAAAGAATCATAGTATTTAACACCTTTTTTTAATGTCGGGAAATGCATTTACGCATACAACCTGCAGACTTACAGGTGGTTATGTGGGACTCACCGGCTAGAAAAACCAGTACTACCCATTGAAACAACTGGCTTAATCATCAGAACAGAAAATTATGAGCTCGATGGTATAAAATTATTACATAAATTAAGTATACAATAATTTGAAAAAGATAATTAGAAAAAGGATAAAATCGACGTGCTCACAAAACTAAATTATTACTAAATTATTTCTACATAGGTTAAGTGTACATATATTGTATTTTCAGGTATAGCTCAAGTAGCTGAAGCAACAATCTCTATAAAGCGTCTGCAAAGCTTCATGTTATATGAAGACACTAGCAAACCAGTACCAGGACTTGCTGAAATTCTTACATCTACTAAGAAGAAAGTCAAAGAATTAAAAAAAGAACCAAGAGAATCTGCCACATCTATAAAAGCAGGCTTGGAAACTGATGATGTAACAAAGCCTTTGAAAGAAGAAGATATAAAGAAAATGGACGAAGCTATTGGCAAAGAAAATGGTGAGTGCGATGCAGCAATTTAACTTATACATTCAATAATAGAGATATTAGTAATCTATACATATAATAAAATTAAAACTAAGCCGAATGTGTACATTAAATATTATTTGGAAAATCTCATTGAAATAAACATTATTATCGATACCGAGGCCGAATCTATAGTTTTTAGAATTTTTGTCTATCTGTTACCGCATCACAGAAAAACCACTGTAGGGATTTTCATGAAATTAGGTATGGTGATAGCTGGCTATCCGGGTCAACATATAGGATAATTTTAACCGCGGGAAAATATCTCATTACTGAGAAAAAATACAAAAAATGCAATGTAAGAGTATACTAATATGTAAAATCTAAGAATTTGGTTTTTGGTGATCTGAGTGCGGGCGGAGCCGCGGGCCATGCTAGTGACAAATTAAAATAAAAGAAAACCCGACCATCTTGGACCAATTCCTCCCTCTTCCTACTTCTTCTACTTCCTACTTCCTTTCCTACCTCCCGACTAATTCGCCTTTCAAACAAAACAAAACAAAATCGGTTCATCTGTTGGGGAGCTACGGTGCCACAGACAGACACACGTAGACACGTTAAACGTGTCCCGTGTACTATTCCCATCGTTTTTACATCGGGGGTTAAAAATATTTATACTAAGTACGTACATATATGTCGCAGGGAAATTGTAAGATCCGTTAGATTATCATTTCACTAGTGAAAAGGAGACGGTTGATAATACTCCGGGTAATTATAAATTCACTAGTCAAATTGTAATTTCACGGTTTTCACAATTTCCCTGCGACATATATGTATATTGTGTACTACAACGAAACGTTTAGACATGGGTAACTGAGGCTATGTGAACTTGGCACCCGACTTTGGAAAAATGGTTCTTTTTTAGGTTTATTTGAACGATTTCGGTTAGTAGTAGATAGTAGTGAAGCTAATTTCGTTTGTAGTAGTGCCAAAAAAAAATACAGACAACAAAAAAAATGTCATCCCCCGAAGTTGGTAAAAAAAAATTTTTCCGCTTGATTTGTATAGAAAAAAGTTAGTAGTGGTTTGTAGTGCAATTTTTTTCGTTTGTAGTAAAACAAAAAAAAATAATTTTTTTTTCGAGTATTTTTGCAGAACGATTTTTACTACATACATTCATTGTATCGTTTGTAGTACCATTATTTCATTTGTAGTAACGTTAATTTTGGTTTGTAGTACCATTACTTCGTTTGAAGTAACGTTAATTCCGTTTGTAGTACCATTACTTCGTTTGTAGTACCATTGTTTCGTTTGTAGTACCATTATTTCGATTGTAGCTGTTTGTAGTAACGTTAATTTCGTTTATAGTACCATTATTTCATTTGTAGTTGTTTGTAGTAACGTTAATTTCGTTTGTAGTACCATTATTTCGTTTGTAGTAACGTAAATTTCGTTTGTAGTACCATTGTTACGTTTGTAGTACCATTGTTTCGTTTGTAGTACCATTATTTCGTGTGTAGTACCATCATTTCGATTGTAGCTGTTTGTAGTAACGTTAATTTCGTTTGTAGTACCATTATTTCGTTTGTAGCTGTTTGTAGTAACGTTAATTTCGTTTGTAGTACCATTATTTCATTTGTAGTTGTTTGTAGTAACGTTAATTTTGTTTGTAGTACCATTGTTTCGTTTGTAGTAACGTTAATTTCGTTTGTAGTACCATTATTTCGTTTGTAGTTGTTTGTAGTAATGTTAATTTTGTTTGTAGTACCTTTGTTTCGTTTGTAGTAACGTTAATTTCGTTTGTAGTACCATTGTTACGTTTGTAGTACCATTGTTTCGTTTGTAGTGCTATTATTTCGTTTGTAGTACCATTATTTCGATTGTAGCTTTTTGTAGTAACGTTAATTTCATTTATAGTACCATTATTTCGTTTGTAGTTGTTTGTAGTAACGTTAATTTCGTTTGTAGTACCATTATTTCGTTTGTAGTAACGTAAATTTCGTTTGTAGTACCATTGTTACGTTTGTAGTACCATTGTTTCGATTGTAGTACCATTCTTTCGTTTCTAGTACCATTATTTCGCTTGTAATGGTTTGTAGTAACGTTAATTTCGTTTGTAGTACCATTATTACAAACGACAACAACGAAATAATGGTACTACAAACGAAATTAACGTTACTACAAACAACTACAAACGAAATAATGGTACTACAAACGAAATTAACGTTACTACAAACAGCTACAATCGAAATGATGGTACTGCAAACGAAATAATGCTACTACAAACGAAATTAACGTTACTAAAAACAACTACAAACGAAATAATCGTACTACAAACGAAATTAACGTTACTACAAACAGCTACAAACGAAACAATGGTACTACAAACGAAATAATGGTACTACAAACGAAACAATGGTACTACAAACGTAACAATGGTACTACAAACAAAATTAACGTTACTACAAACAACTACTAACGAAATAATCGTACTACAAACGAAATTAACGTTACTACAAACAGCTACAATCGAAATGATGGTACTACAAACTAAATAATGGTACTACAAACGAAATTAACGTTACTACAAACAGCTACAATCGAAATGATGGTACTACAAACGAAATAATGGCACTACAAACGAAACAATGGCACTACAAACGTAACAATGGTACTACAAACGAAATTAACGTTACTACAAACGAAATAATGGTACTACAAACAAAATTAACGTTACTACAAACAACTACAAACGAAATAATGGTACTACAAACGAAATTAACGTTACTACAAACAACTACAAACGAAATAATGGTACTACAAACGAAATAATGGTACTACAAACGAAACAATGGTACTACAAACGTAACAATGGTACTACAAACGAAATTTACGTTACTACAAACGAAATAATGGTACTATAAACGAAATTAACGTTACTTCAAACGAAGTAATGGTACTACAAACCAAAATTAACGTTACTACAAATGAAATAATGGTACTACAAACGAAACAATGAATGTATGTAGTAAAAATCGTTCTGCAAAAATTCTCAAAAAAAAATAATTTTTTTTTGTTTTACTACAAATGAAAAAAATTGCACTACAAACCACTACTAACTTTTTTCTATACGAATCAAGCGGAAAATTTTTTTTTACCAACTTCGGGGGATGACATTTTTTTTGTTGTCTGTATTTTTTTTTGGCACTACTACAAACGAAATTAGTTTCACTACTATCTACTACTAACCGAAATCGTTCAAATAAACCTAAAAAAGAACCATTTTTCCAAAGTCGGGTGCCAAGTTCACATAGCCGGTAACTGATCTTTCTTTCTTTGAATGGAACTGCTAGGGATGCATTATAAGAAACAATACATACAATACAATAATATGACTCGTCAAAACTTAGAATAATGTTATATAAGTCTGAACTTTTTTAAATAATGTAATAGAATAAAAAATCCGAACATTTTTATGAAAACTACAAATGTTTGGAAAACCCACAACTCTACAATATATTTTATTAATCTTTTATTCTTTTCCACTATATTTACTGTCGGAATTTTAATTACATGTTTTTTATTTTTTATTATGAGATTTCTTTAGTCTTCTTATTGTTTTTATTAACATCTTCATACCGATTATGTAAATAAATTAGATATAATAAGAGGGAATGACGCAGCCATGACAAGGTTAAACCACCCCGTGTTCAATTCAATTTAATATAATACAATAGCGATTATTAATAGAAAATAATGTCCTTATTCCGCATTCATTATTTCTAATTGAGCGTGCAAAATCCGTATTTAATGCAATATTATTATTTTTTCACCGCGTGAAAGCTAAGCGCCAATAGAGGCATCTCGTCAGGAACCCGTGCTATTAATAGTAGTAGTGCTGACGTCATTAAATGCATTTTGTTCTTACGTATTTTAATGCCGGTTCCGCACGCTTGTCAAACCTCGACAAGCCGTCCCAAATTTAAACTTGTGGAGAGGATGTTTGGCTTGCCTTGTGTAGGTTTGCAAGCACTTATGGCCGTTTATGTCATGTCGGTTTTTGTACACAAATCAAAGGAAGTTTGCGACAAGCGCTTGTAATGCAATATACAACGATAAAACTTATAATGCAAAGTTCGATAAATTTCAAAAAATACTGAGTTTTTAGCTGAGCTTTTTTTCCGTTTCCTTCCATATTCTTTAGTGTCACTTTGTTTATTTTTATAATAGAAACAAAATTAACCACACAACATACAACACAAGCTCGACGTCTATCTTAAATGAAATATACTTTATTCAATTAGACTTATAGTCCTTGTTTCTCGGAGACACGCGAACGCAATCGCTTATCGCAAGCGTGTGATGTCGATGTTTGTCTCTTCAAAAGCCAAACGTTTGTAGTTGTTTCAAGCTTGTACCATAAATGGCAAGCGTGTGGATCCGGCGTAACAATATTTATATAATTACTTAGTATTTTTTTCACTCCATTTCATTTGAATAGTAACATTAGTAAGAAAATATGAAATATACTTTATTCAATTAGACTTATAGTCCTTGTTTCTCGGAGACACGCGAACGCAATCGCTTATCGCAAGGGTGTGATGTCGATGTTTGTCTCTTCAAAAGCCAAACGTTTGTAGTTGTTTCAAGCTTGTACCATAAATGGCAAGCGTGTGGATCCGGCGTAACAATATTTATATAATTACTTAGTATTTTTTTCACTCCATTTCATTTGAATAGTAACATTAGTAAGAAAATTAATAATTTCTATATTTCGATCATTTCTGTGACATCAATTGCTAATTAGCTCTATTCTTACACTCGCTTCGCTAGGGTGCGTCTCCAGGGATGAATGATTTAGAAACGCGAAAAGACAATCATACAAAAAAATATATAATAATGTGTACGCAGAAAAACTCACCAAAGTTTCATCACAATCGGATGAATTTAGGATGACATAGACTCATAGAGGATTAACAAATACTATGAAAAATTTATTTTTTATTTTTTAATAGGTTAAACTATTAAAACTCTTAAAATATATATTATTTTGAGTGCAACATACTGGCTAGTACTGTCTAATCTACTGTCTATCTATATAATGTTTGCACTTTGCATGAACACTAAGGTATTTATTAAGTGGGTTAATTATGTGTACTCTGTAATTATGAACCATATTGTGAATAGTTACAATCTTATACATATGTACTCGTATTATACGCTTAACTGAAATGTAGGACTAGGGCATGTTTGTTTACTTACCTACTGAAGGCTCTTTTTTGTCTTTTGTATTCTAAATAAACGATTTTTCCTATAACTAACAAATTTCTACTTTTTTTAAATACAAAAGTCTTTTTGTGTAGAAGCTAAATCCATTTTTTTTTAATTTTATAATTTCGGTTTGATTCAAGTTTTTATTAAAGACTTAATTCGGTTTGTTTTTAAATCCAACTAAACTTGAAATTGCTTGTTTTATTTAAAGAAATAATAGCAATCATTATAGTATATCGAAACTTATAATACCTAACGGGTGTCATATTTGATGGGTCACTGGGTGCCGAAAGTAGGATAGCTGTCTATAAATATCGTTTCGCTGAATGATCGTATATCAAACTTCTATTCGATTAATCTATACATATAAATAAAATTCAAGTTTCTATTTGTAATGTCAAAATAACAGCTTTTTACTAAATGCATATGGATGTATACACGGTACATATACCAAAACAACATATTTTACAATCTTTGTCTGTCTGTCTGTGTGTCTGTTTGTTCCGGCTAATCTCTAAAATGGCTGGACCAATTTTGACGGGCCTTTCACTGGCAGATAGCTGATATAATAAGGAGTAACTTAGGCAACTTTTATTTTAGAAAAAAATATAGGGTCCCACGAAAAAAATTATAACCAATGAAAAATTTAATAATATCCGATTCAAATAGGGAAGCTGTAAACATACTCTAGAGACGAACCCGAGCGAAGCGAGGGTGAGCTCGCTAGTGTTATTAAAACATAGCCAATTATATCGGCTAGCTACCACATCTTTCTTTCCCTTCACTCATTATATCTATATGATGGCATAAAATGTTATTAAATCGATGCTAGTTAATGAATATTCACGAAAACTAAATTATAACAATTTAAAATATAGCAATATGGTAGCGAAATAGTGATTTATGTTATATAAATACATTTGTTTCCAGATAAAAATAATGCACCGCTGGAATCGGGAGAGGAGGATAACGAGGAGCTGGCGACGCGGGTGGAGGAGGACTCGCGCGGCGTGCGCCTCAAGCACGCCACGGCCAAGTGGATCACGTCTCACGCTGAGAACACTCTCACCGACTTGTCGCTCACCATCAAACCTGGCAAGTGAGTAATTAGTAATAGACTATAATATACTTATTAGGACTATGAACATTTAAAAAAAACAAATTAGCCAAATCGGTCCAGCCGTGACATGAAGTGACGTGTTTATCATCGAACAGCATTTTATTTTATTTGTTTGAAAAAGTACATTCAGGGCTGGATTATCCACAAGGCAGATAAGGCAACTGCCTATGGGCCCGCATTGTCTAGGGGCCTGCCCCACACACGGAGAAAAAAAATTGAGAATATTTCATCGAGTGAAAATTTCATTTGAAAAATTAAAAAATTAGGTGAAAATTCCATCATGAGGACAAATACAAATGTTAGATTTCTATGAAATCTACCTAATAGCGTAATTGCGAATATAATAATAACATTGTAAAAAAAAATGTATTTTAATAAGTTAGAAAAGGTTGAAAATGCCCCGAGAATTGCATTGCCTAGGGGCCCCCGCATGGTTAATTCGGCCTTGAGTACATTGCGCAAAAGAATAAAATACGCGTTATGAGCTTTTTTATTTCGATATAATGAAGTATTTGCTAGCGTAACGTAAATAACATTTGAAAGCGCGCGGCGAACCTGATTGTTAGACAATTTCATGCTTATCACGGCGGTTTTAGGATAGTGACGGAAGTCTCAAATCATATTCTTCAAACGTACTATAGCCGGTAACTAATAGACAAACAAGGTCCAATACATACTGACAACTGACGTCCTCGTCTGAGATTATGCATGCGCGAAGACACAAGTGCGCACACTATTCTTTTTCACTCTCAAAGTTTGATGAAACTATACTGTAACGCGGCCGGCGAGAGATTAGGTGCCGGACCGATGGCTTTATGAGGCACGGGATTAAAACACCGCCAACATTCCAACACATGGCTGCTATTCTTTCTTTCTTAACAGAAGAACTAATTAGTTAAAACTTGGCGTGACTCGGGACTCGAACACAGAACCTCCAAATTTACAGCCACATAGTATTATGTATGTTGCATAATATGTACATACATTTAATATACTGAGAGATGCATATTACATAATGTGAAAATTGAACGGTGTTTCAGAATTCATTAAAATTACCGATAATTAATATAAAAAATTCAATTATAAAACTTATTAAAATTATAAAAATTCTTAAAATTGAAATTAAAAAATATTGTAAGGTACTTTGGTGCCTTTTTTTATTTTTTTGAATTCATTTTGTTATTTTGTGGGTAGGCTGTCTGTAACAACTATATAATGCCTTTGAGACATTTAAAACCTTAGTCTCTCCCGTGACCATGATTTCTGTAAAGCATTTGAAACGTTGGTAGCCGAAAATCAAAATAAATCCGCGAAAAGATCTTTTATTTAAAAATAAAAAAATCTACTTGTAAAATAACTTAAAGTAATCCTTCACAGGTTAATAGCAGTAATAGGTCCAGTGGGAGCGGGAAAATCGTCACTCCTGCACGTGCTACTCAAAGAACTCCCACTACAGTCCGGTAGCGTTCATATCGGCGGTACTATATCGTACGCAAGTCAGGAACCATGGCTATTTGCAGGTAGCATATTTTTTTACATATTAAACCATTGCCTATAAAAAACAGGTTTTTAAATAAACATACCTAATCCTAACTCTTCGCAATTTTTGTTAATAATATTATATGTCTTTTTTAAAGGTCAACTTACATATTTAATGTCTTTCGTTATGAATCGAAATGATATCGTATTCCTGCGTCAATTAAATATTAAATTATATTTTGCTCTTTTTTGACTTAAGAAGAGTTTCTTACTTCTTTTTTTAATAAATTAACTATGTCTGGCAAAGATATTAATTTCCAGGAAATAAAACCTAAAGGTGTAATTCTTTGTTAGCATAACATGTTGATATTTTAAAGCCACTACAACATTAACGTTACAGGTAGTGTGCGTCAGAACATACTGTTCGGGCAGGCGATGGACAGGCCGCGCTACAACGCCGTGGTGCGTCGCTGCGCGCTCGATAGAGACTTTTCACTGTTTCCGAACGGCGATAAGACGGTCGTGGGCGAAAGAGGCGTCAGTCTTAGTGGAGGTAATTGAACGGTATAATCCCCTTCACCGATTTTGGTTTAGACTGTTGATGTCATTCAGACTGGCCATTGTGTGTAGGACATGAAGTCCGGTGGGAGTGAGATCAGTTGCAGGATCGATGGCTTTAAAGAATTTCTTCACAAAAAAGAACTAAATAACTAAACTTAATTCGATTGGGGAAACGAACCCAGGATCTCCAAATTTGCAGCCGTTACCCGCCAGACTACTGATGCAGTTGTATTCAACCCTTTTTAATGTCAAATCACTGAGCATGGGCCTCCCTGTAATACGAGGGTGATCAGATCGTAGGTCCACCACGCTAGCCAAGCGTGGGTAGGTAGACTTCACATGTCTCCCGAAAACTTGCTAGGTTCTCTCAGCTATGCAGGTTTCCTCACGATGTTTTCTTTCACCATTAGACAAGTTACAATCATGTTTGAAAATGATTCGCGCATGAAAATATCTGAAGTGCGAGACCTGGGACTAGAACTCGCTTCACTCGGTTTCCTAAACGAACGCGTTACCACTGGGTAACTACATTCATATTGTAACAGTGACGCATATTGCAATATTGTAGTGCACTTAAAATAATACTTAATTATCACAAACGAGTACGCAATAACGATCGAGCGTCGCCCCGCAGGCCAGCGCGCGCGCATCTCGCTGGCGCGCGCCGTGTACAAGCGCGCGGACATCTACCTGCTGGACGACCCGCTGTCGGCCGTGGATGCGCACGTGGGCCGCCACCTCTTCGAGTCCTGCGTGGTGGGCTACCTGCGCAACGCCACGCGCGTGCTCGTCACCCACCAGCTGCAGTTCCTCAGAGACGTGGAGCAGGTTGGTGGATGTTCTTCTTACCACATTGTAGAAATCAATTAGGTAATCGTATTTGATTTGAATGGAAATGTTGCCAAAAGACAGGGTTATCAAAAATACCAATTCAATTTTCTAGTTAATAAATAATAGCTTCAAAGCCAGTTGAACACAGATTACTTCGCCCACACACACCTAAAATGGGGAAGACACGAAATAGATTCAGTCAATAATATTTGGTGAAGTTATAGCGCTGCAGTGCCATCTCTTGTCAAGTTACAGTTATACTCGACAACCCTGAAGCCATTTCCCGGCTGTCATATTACATTGCTCTTTCTTAACTATAACGTTCTAATAAGACTTTCTTATATTAACACGAACATTTGACATTTTAAATAAAACTATCTTTCCGGAGATCCGTCTCTCCCGTGACCAATATTGCTGTAAAACATTCGAAACGTCGGGAACCAAAAATCAAAACAAATCCGCAAAATAATCCGAAAAGATAGTTTTATTTATAACTACCGACTCACCCTCGCTTCGCTCGGGGTCGTCCCTACGGTATGTATACAACTTCCCTATTTGAATTGGATATTATATAATTTTTCATTAGTATTATTTTTTTTTCGTGGGACCCTATTTTTATTTCTAAAATAAAAGACGCTTCAAAGCGTGCCAGTTAAACATAGATTACTACGCCAATGTCACGTAGAAAGGTGGCAATTCAGTATTCATAGCATTTCATTTTCATATTCTTTAACATTTTCTTAGATTATCATATTGAAGAACGGCTCAATAGCTGCCGCGGGTGACTTTGAAACTCTTAGCGCGTCCGGGCTGGACTTCGCCTCGTTGCTGGCGCAGGGGGAACAAGAGAAGAGAGAAGATGAGAAACCCACGGAAGAGAAGTCTAATATCGACATGGAAGACTCGGTATTGCAAGGAAGCTTCAGGAAACGGCAAATGAGCATACATTCTGTAAGTACCTATTTAATTCGTTTTTAGATTTAAGCATGATAAATGCGGTTGTGAATCTTATATTTCTGTGAAAATTTACAATTTGTTTTTATCAATTAGTAGTGACCTACATGCCCTTGTATTTATCAACAATATGAAGGAAGTTTTTAAAATACGTGTTATTTCCGACTTAGTTGATAAATATCGCTGTATAGCTTATTTTCGAAATATATTTATAACATAACTTATAACCTCTTTTTCTATCTGTGAATTTTGTAAAAAGTCCTTGCTGTAGTTTCTGAGATTAGCCCGAATAAACTTAAGCTCAGCGCGGCTGGGGATTGTTTTAAAATTAAAATAATAAAAATATAATATAATAATAATACTTTATTTATTGTACTATATAAAGTGACAATATAAGGGGTTAAAGTGAGTAAAGCAAGTTGCACAAAAAGTGTCAAAAAATAAGTTGAACTACTATCTCCTAAACTAAGCCAGAGCCTGTATTTTAGGTGACAGTCGTTCCGCTTTCACAATTGAATTTACAACTATTTATATGTCATGCGAGTGCTTCAACAATATCAAGAACTTATATTATAAATATGCATCATATTTGGATAAAAGAAAAAGAAGAAGATTTTACTTTTACATCAAAATATATAAATGTTAAGATATGAGTAGGTAAAGAATGACATCTGACAAAATAGTTAATTATATTAAATACATTAATTAAGCTCAATGTTCCATGTCCGAATTAAACTCTGACAATGAATCATGAACAAAGATAAAATAAATTATTCACTTTTTTCATATATTAAACTTTGTGGTTAGATTTGTTTATATGTATAACAAAATTATTCGAATGTTGTGTACCGATATAATTGAACAGCAAATTCTAAATTATATTTTAAGTTTAAATACCTAGTTGTAACGTTTTAATTTGTGTTTCTGTGCATAAAAAAATAAAATAAAAATAAATATGTTCAGGTAAGCTCAGTAGATAACCTAACAGCAACAGCGCCGCCAGAGGGCGGGCGCGAAGCGGCAGAGACGCGGTCTGCGGGCGCGGTCTCGAGCAAGGTGTACGGCGCGTACCTGCGCGCCAGCGGGCACCCGCTGCTGGTGGCGCTGATGGTGCTGGTGGCGGTGCTGGCGCAGCTGCTGGGCTCCGGCTCCGACTGGTGGACAAGCTACTGGTAAGCAGCTTACCTATCAACTTTTTTATTCAATTTGTTTTACTTTGTCCAGTCTAGTGTTTTTTTTTTACTTTTCTTTCAATGTTCCTAGGCATTGCGTTCTTTGTAATTACAGGAGTAAAGGGTTATCGAATTGAAATTTAAATTTAGTTGCGCGAAGTAATTAATCAAGTCTACTCTATCGTACACGCGTAATGGAATAACAAATATCTAAATAAAGGCTTATACAAAGTAGTACACAAGTGTAGTTTAGAACAGATTGCAATATTGTTTATTTTGTTATTTAATTTGTCAAAAATATAGATAAGGTGAAAATATTAGTCATTAATCTTATAATTATTTTATATTATCATGTTCGTATCTTTATTATTCCGACACTGTTTCATTCGTAGGGTAAATCAAGAAGAGGATCATCCATCATCGGTATTGAACGAACTAGACGGAAGAAACCTGTCGAACCCACTTATGATCTATGACAACTTCACCCACTCCTTACCTAAAGATGCTGCATTCAAATCCGGGCTTACTAGATATGACTGCATTTATATATACACAGGTAAGAAGTAAAACAAGATATATTTTACATACATATATAATGTGGTTGAAACCGCGCAACTCAGAATGCAATTCTTATTTGCCTAATATATATTATTTATTATAATTACTCTATGAAGATTCCAATAAATAGGCGTTGGTTTGTCTGTCTTTTGTCTTAGTAAAAGGATCAAACCTTAGTATTAATTCTGCAGGTAAGGAATTCAATATATAATTATTAGTTTCTACTTTCTTAGAGTCTGCCTTCGAGTATATTGTATTCCAGTAGTTCTGCTAGTGTCCATATTGGTAACCATGTATGTATATTGTATGTAGATGTACTGGTATTCAAGGTTAGACTTAATTTTGATTCTTTAAAAAGTTATTACTGTTAGTGAGCAATAATAACAGTATAAAACGTTTACTTTGAATCTACTTCCTATAATATGCTTAGAGGGATGCATTGTTTATAATTATTTTTTTTATAAAATGTGTTTTCTACATCGAATATCATGCACACTTTATTAATTTCCTTGTATTTGTATGATGTCATATTGATTAAGATTTGTTCGTGTACAAATTTCAGCAATGGTGTTGGCACTAGTGGTAGTGTCCCTGCTCCGGTCGTTCATGTTCTTCTCCATGGCGATGGACGCGTCCACGCGCCTCCACAACACCATGTTCGCGGCCATCACGCGCGCGCCCATGCGCTTCTTCCACACCAACCCCTCGGGCCGCATTCTGAACAGGTTCTCCAAGGACATGGGCGCCGTGGATGAGGTCCTGCCCGCTGCTTTACTTGATGTATTGCAGGTTAGTGTTAAAACATTGTATTCATTAATAGATACAACGTTACAATAGAATGGTGGTACTAGTTTTTGTTGTATTTTTTTTATAATATGATACCCTAGTACTCATGACAATTTTTATTCGCTTGCGGGGCAGTTTCTTTCTGACGTTAATTAAAGTTGTTATGATTTTTGATAGTTAACACATTTTTATCGAATTAAAAAAAAACATAATATAACACTCGCCTTTAAGTGCTTCCTATTAATGAAAGAATTATATACTCTTATATTAGAATCGGATCAGTAGAGATCCTTACATCCAAACTTAAAAACTTTATCTCTATAAAATATTAAATTAGACTTTATAAGTGATTTACTATTTACAGATAGGGTTGTCACTGATCGGTATAGTGGTGGTGGTGGCGGTGGTGAACTACTGGCTGCTGGTGCCGACGGCGGCCATCGGGCTCGTGTTCTACGGCCTGCGCATCTTCTACCTCGCCTCCAGCCGCAGCATCAAGCGCCTCGAGGGTGTGAGTGAGTCATCTCTGAGGCTAATGCCGTTTAGTGATCCTTGATATGTTTGTTTTTTTTTTATCTATTATTAAATATTTGTTTCTAGTCATAGTTTTTTGTTTAGTAAATTTTTCGTATATTTGTTTTTTTTTGGATTAAAAGTGGAAAGATGTTAAAGATATCCTTTCCGTATTGCTTATTTCATACTATATTTTGACAGCTTTTTTACTTGTGTAACAGAGTTTGTAGAATACTATTGCTTGAATTCATACCCGTTTTATCTAACAGATTTGTCACATTAAGCATTTCGTTTACGTTTTAATCTTATTTTTTTAATTGGGTATTAGTTTTCACTTTACATACTTAAAGTAGTAAGCACACTTTATATAGCTAGTTTCATATAAAAATTTAAAACAATAATAAATTAAATATTACTATTACATGTGAATTATAATATAAAATATTACTTATTTGGCAATCGAAAATTTACCTTAATTATTGAAATCTTATTTAGATTTTTTTTATGTAATAAACATAACATGTTATATACATTAAGTTACTGTCAAAACTCAAAATATTTTAAAATAATGTTAAACGTTTGCCCGCAGCACGTAGCCCTGTGTTCTCGCACCTCAACGCGTCGCTGCAGGGCATTACGACGATACGCGCGTTCGGCGCGCAGGAGGCTCTCATACGGGAGTTCGACAACCATCAGGATCTTCATAGCTCGGCTTGGTAAGTTGCTCACTTATTACAGTCTCAGTGCTTATTTGTCTAGACGTGGGCTTACCAAAAGATTTTGAATACAGAATTATTGACCAATGTATGTATGTATAAATGCCAATTCTATTAGTATAAATTTTATTTTAAAGCTTAAAAGATGTATTTTATCAATATATATAATCTTAGATAAGCTTTGTTTTAAAGCTTTGTTTTAAAAATAGGCGAAAAAACTATGTACTGTGAAAAACAACTAATAATGCTAGTTTGAACCATAGAAATATAGAGTAAACTGAGTATATTTCATCTAAAAAAGGCGGAAAGGCACAACAAACAAAACGAATGTGAGGCCAGAAGTCTTCTGTATTAATTGAAATACAATTAACGAAAATAGATATTTATAACCATTTTAAATTCCATTATAATTTTCAATAATACTATAGATTTTTTACATTCCATTTATAAATTAAAATTGGAATAAAAGACGGGTATCGGCGGCACGTTCGCTTTCTTTCTTTGTCAATTTTATGCTCAGTGCATTCTCTACGTCTATGGTATAAACAAATAAATACAACATTTCTATTATTTAGTTAAATATAATATAAGAGAAATTTGTTTTAGGTATCTATTCATAGCAAGTTCCCGTGCCTTCGGTTTCTGGCTAGACCTTGTGTGCGTGGTGTACATAGGCGTGGTTACGCTTAGTTTCCTCGTGTTTGGACAAGGTAAGGCAGATCATATTTATGATTTGACATATTTTTTTATTTAATATAAATTTTCATCTGATTAAAAAGTATCTTATAGATGGTATTGCTGTCTAGTAAAAGATGAAATCGAAAATTACACGCTCTGAGAGAGAAGGTCGCAGTTGAAGTTCTTTGCGGTAGCAATTACTTGATTTATTTTTAAAATCATGTATATAGAATAATACAAATAAAATGTATCCCAACAGAGGAGTACGGCGGCAACGTGGGGCTGGCCGTCACGCAGGCGATGGGGCTGACGGGCATGTTCCAGTGGGGCATGCGCCAGTCCACCGAGCTGGAGAACCAGATGACAAGCGTTGAGAGGTCAGAGCTTTATTTAATCTAAACGCAGAAATAAGTTTGTAAAATTATATTTATTACGATTCCATTTTTTTGTTCATATGAAAAACGTACTTTTTTGTATTCAACATTCTCAAGTCGTGTGCTTATGTACACGGATGTAACACAGCACTTGAAATGTTTTTATGGGTAGTTCATTGCGCAAACATAACTAAACCACAAAGTTTATCCTATCCAAAAATATATATTAAAAAAATAATAAACCGTCTTTTTGTTATTTAAATGTAGTTATAATAAAACTTTTTATAACTTGAAATTGAAGGACATTAGGGCTTTAGAGTGCACGACGATTTTTAATCATCATGAACGTGCATCTGCGCATTTATAAATTTCGCGTTAGTAAATTTAAAAAAAAGTCATCGATCGATATAGACTCGCGACAAGCGTGAAATGAGAGAGCATACACTGCGCATCGGACGGGGGTCTAACGTGTGCCAAAACGTACGCGTTAAAAAGTCGTCGTGTGTCTCTCAAACAGGGTTGCCAGTAGAGACAACTGCTGCCAGTAGAGGCAACTTATTTTATACCGCTGGGTCACTCAAATTATGACAAATCAAAATTTATTATACAAATTAACATAACTGTTGAGAAATACTCTGCGACAAATAAAAAAAAATCAAAAAAAAAAAAACGTAATAACTTAAAATGATATATACATGAAATAACCAGATTTTACAATTTTCGCATCCAATTATACGATCTGGCACCCCTCAAACGACAAATCTAAACACAATAAGACATTCAACAGAATACAAGAATACTCGAACATAGAATCTGAGCCGCCACTTGAATCAGAGCCCAAAAAGAAGCCGCCGCCGTCCTGGCCGGAGACGGGGCACTTGCAGTTCCGCCACGTGTACCTCTACTACGCGCCGGAGGAGCCTCCCGTGTTGAAGGACCTCACCCTGGACATACTGCCCAAGGAGAAAGTCGGCATCGTCGGCCGGACTGGGGCGGGAAAGTCCTCCCTTATCAATGCTTTGTTTAGGTATTGTTCTGTATTTTATAAACTGTATTTTATAACTCAAAAAATAAAGGCACGGACAAATCGTCTGTGGCGTTCGTTAATAAAAGTATTATAAGTATTTAAAACTTTAAATTTATTCTTAATATTTATTATACATATTTTACCAGATTGGCAAAAATTGAAGGCGAAATAATAATAGACGGTCGCGAGACGTCAACGTTGGGTCTCCACGAACTGCGCAGCCAGGTGTCCATCATACCGCAGGAGCCCGTGCTGTTCTCGGGCACCATGAGACACAATCTGGACCCCTTTGATGAATATCCTGACCAAGTTCTGTGGAGAGCCTTAGAAGAGGTGAGCGAATATTAAAATGTGTATGTAATAAAAAGCCTAATTACTGGATAGTGTTACTAACAAATAGGTCGGTAGTACCCTAATTGAAGTACTTAATAGAAGTTTCATTCGGTAAGTGAGAGGTTGCAAGTGTTGCTCCCAGTATGCTCGTTTGTCTGTATTAAAATATTTGTATCGTAATTTAAAATGAATGTTATTAAAAAAAATTGGTAATATTTATCAGTATTTACGTAATATAATCTGAATGTTACTCAGCAGAAAGTTTTTTGAGTATAACCTTTATTGATATTGGGTATCGGCTGCTTAAAACTAACTCACTATAGGTTAGGATGATGTGTTTTAGGAATATTAAGCATTCGTTTATTACTAGAACATGTTCATTTACATTATAAGAACATTTTATGTAAATATAAACAAGGTGGAGCTGAAGGAGGCGGTGATGGAGCTGCCGGCGGGGCTGAGCTCGCGCATGTCGGAGGGCGGCAGCAACTTCAGCGTGGGGCAGCGCCAGCTCGTGTGCCTCGCGCGTGCCATCGTGCGCCGAAACCGCCTGCTCGTGCTCGACGAGGCCACCGCCAACGTCGACCCGCAGTCAGTATACACACACACACACACACACACGCACGCACGCACACATACACGCATATGCGCACAGACAAACGCGCGCGTGCGCACATATGCATGCGTATAATATATAAAATTATATTATACCTAATGATTCTATTTGCGGCTTTGTCCGTATTTGTGCATACTTTCAATTACAATTAGACCAGTTAAATGGTCTTAGTAGTTATACTAAGCATAATCTTGGCACGTATTCCGTCAATTGAAATCACTCATAGTTTTACTTTGTTTTCAGACTACTTTTAAAACTAAAATCCCATTAAAATCTACATGGAAACATAATGTCATGAAAAAATACATTGTGCATGTAATCCGGTTACAGTTTCATTACGTATATGGTCGAATATCATTTTACGAGGTGCTTCACAAAAAGGCTTACAAAGGATAATTCCGAGCCAAAGAAAAGGCTTTTTTGAAAAGTACTACTCCAGTCTTTTCAGTCTGCCATTCAAAAATTTATGAATAATATAATAATAGTCAAAATATCTTTCAAACCATCTACCTTAAAAATATAAGCCTATTTTTTATTAAAAGTTAAAAAAACAACATTTTATAAAAAAACAACGTCTGTAGTGATTAGTAAAAAAATTATAAAAATTTCAAACATTACTTCTACCAAAAAATATTTATAATTTGTATTTTTTTCTGTAGGACGGACGCCTTAATACAAGCGACAATAAGAAATAAATTTGCTGACTGCACTGTACTCACCATCGCACATAGACTGCACACTGTTATGGATTCTGATAAGGTAACTTTTTAATTTCTCTTTAAATATTTAAAAACAATAAATTATATGTACTGTGTAGTTTCGTTATGTATGTTAATAAAGTAATGATGAGAATTTTTATTGTGTATAAGAAAAAGCAATATAGAATTATACAGCATCTAAATATTTGTATTCATCGAATATGCAGTATTTGGCATAGCAGGAAATTACAAAATATGTCTTATAAATAATATCAATGTAAAACAAGCTGTTCAAATTACAATAAACTCAATAAAAAAAGTAAGGAATTAAATTCGCTGATACGTAACCATTTTTTATTGCAATCATTTAAAAAAATCACCTGGAAATTTTTATGTGAAATGTAACACTAGAAATCTTAATATATGAAAGTTGCAAATACTTGATGAAAGTGTATAAAAAGTGATTAAAAGTATAAAGGATTTACTTTTATTTTACACATTGTAATTTAATATAGTATATTAATGTTATTTTACTTGCGTATGCTCTATTTTATGTAAATTGAAAGTGATTAAGGTGCCACAAATGTACAAAATGGCTGGTTGAGCTCGTAAATATTAGAGGTCTTATAAAATCTTATAGGTTTCCAAAATGTATAATATTATGTAATTCTTAAGCTCTTTTTCTAAATCATGTAAAATTGATTAATACGCCATTAGCGTTGAAGGTTTAGCATTTTTCTGTTGCACGATAAATTGTATTGGATCTATAGCGTTGTAAATATAGTTTAAAACCAATGTTTGTAGGTGTTGGTAATGGACGCGGGCCAGATGGTGGAGTACGACCATCCGCACGTGTTGCTGCAGAAGGAGAACGGCGTGCTGCGCGGCATGCTCGAGCAGACCGGCCGCGCCACCGCCGACGCGCTCGCGCGCGTCGCCGCGCAGGTACGCCTCGCCGCTCACTTCACCTCACCTCGCCTCACCTCACCTCACTTCACTCAGCTCACTTATACTAGCCATGTCATCTGATAAAATCCGAATAAAAAAATGTCATATTTAAAATAATTCGCATAATACCTATAGTATATTCTTTTGGTATTACAGAGGTATCTGTCTTAATTAAATCTATGTACAGCTTATGCAATACTATATGACGACGACATACATACATTGTTGTAATTAGTAATTATATATCTACGGGGATAAAACCTGTGCCTTAAAACAGCTAACTTAAAAATACATATAATATTACATATTAACATTATATATTTGTTGTATATGTTGACAAATCATGCAATTATAAATATGTATAATTTTTTACAGGAATATAACAAGAAATACTCACAAGCAGAAGATACGAACTGATGCTTGCAGGATGAGTCCAGATGATAAAATTATTTAATTAGCGAATATTGTAACTACTTCGAATATTGAATGATCTTAGTATGTGATTAATTTAGGACGAAATATATTGCTGTGCTTGAACTGTAAACCCGTTTACACTTAAATAGGAGCTAATTTTATTTTTACTTCTGTTGTCATTTATACAACAGCTCCTAAATTATTATTAGTTATTTTTATTTTTAATCGAGTGAATTAATTATTTGTAATTTTACAAACGACAAGTGAGATTTTATTGATTTTAATTTAGGTTATTATTTGAATCAAATTGTGCTGTTTTCATACAAAATTTACAATTACAAACTTTTTTGAGGCTTTTACACTGCTCAAATGTTGAAAATAGTTCCTGAAATATAACATTGTACTGTACTACGTTAAATTTCGATTATAAGGTGCTAGTACGTTTTGTGTACTTAATTTTAAGCAAGATTTTAATTTCATGCATTATGTCATCCCTCGTCTTGCGTTAATTTATTTGTACTTAGTTATGTATTTCCTTGTGATTATCAGTTACCGTTTTGTAAACGAAGTTTGATTATATTGTTGGAACTTTAAGTTATTGTTAAAGTTTCGCCGAATTATTCCTAATGTTACAAAAAGATAATTTGTGATAATGAATACAATGTGTCCAGTGCCTGGCTACTTACGTTTAAAGTGAATCTTTTGTTAATTATTATAAATAAATACAATTTTTATATTTGCACAAAGACTTTTATATTTCCTCCTTAAATAGCAGATATGTAGTGATTTAAATAACAATACAATATGCTCCTTATTTTTCATACTACGCGACATTTGGGAACTAAAAACAGCAAAGACGCAAAATTTCTTAGTAGTCTCGATACAATGAATATCAAAAAAATATAAAAAATGGAGCAGTGTTTATCACATATAATACGCCTCGACAATCTCCTTCGCGCTGGATATTGAGTTTTTTGTAAACAAAACGTGAGAAGTACTCGCTATTCTATCTTCATTGTAGCATATTGTGGGTGATACAAACCGTTCCTTTTCACTAATGAATGTTCCTATGATACAAACATGGCGTATTATTTGAGCTGTAACTAAAATTTGATGAGTGTATTGCACTAAAATATTAATAAATAGTATGTTAAATAAATTTAAAGTACATATTTGAAAATAGATCCAAATTATAAAAAAAAAAACATTGCGAAAGTACTTTTTGTACGTTATTTTATGTTCTTAAGTGATTTATGTGTATAGATTGATCGAATGTCGTTACTGACCAATTCATTGGTTCTGCCAATGAAAATAAAAAAAAATTGTACGAGGTGTAAACCTGTCTTACTAGGTACCCCAGACTCATCCATCAGGACAATGTTAGATAAATCAATAGTACAAAAACAAAATTAAATTGAGTTGTCACCCGCACCATGCTATAACGAAAATAGTATATCTTATGTCCAATTTTGCACTTAAAATGGTTTAAACCAATTTGTATACAAATCATAAATAAAATAAATATGTTGGGACATGAACACACAGCACCATCTAGTTCCAAGGTTAGCTACGAGGCTTGTGTTATGGATACCAGATAGTTGATACCCTATACATATATAACTAAATACATACTGCCCTCCCGAACCTAAAGTGCAGTAACAGCAAAAACACGAATTCGAGAAAAACGCGCTTAAAGTTTAGAATCCATAAAAATATATCAAAAAGAGACTTTTCGATAAAACCTTGAATGGAAAGTGAAAGAATATGTACCAAACTAAAATACTAAACATTGTTACGTCAGTTTTTTTATAAAAAACTATAATTATGGCAATTTTAATTTTTTTGCCCCTACTACTACACACACTTTATTTGTATAATCTTTTCAAAAACTGTTTTAAATGCAGTAAATCCTGTTATTACTGCATTTTAGACATTTCTTCCATGATTGTTACTAACTAAAGTGCAGTAATATTATGAAAATACTGCTATTTAATTTGTTTTTTTGAACAAAACACTGATATTCCACACTTATAGTAATATAAAATTACCTTTAATTTTGATAAAAATATGTAATTTCTTAAACAAAACTGGACATGCATTTATGACTATGCTATTAAAACTATTCATCAAAACATTGTACATTATAATCTAATAGTGTAAATTGTTTTATATGACTAACAATATAACAATCTTTACAAGATGTTGACAATCTTAACTAGTTAATCCACCATAAAACTATATCACATGTATTTCTCATGCATGGATCAATAAATTTACATAAAATCTTTCTTCTGAACATAACTAATTACTAAATGAGTATTCTTGTCTTACAAAAATAATAGTCTGAAAAAATTATGGAAGGGAGAACTAAGGAGAATTAACTTATATGGGAAACAGGTTGAAAAAGTGTCCAGTAGTGAGCAGCAAATTATAGCTCAGAAACTCACCGTTAAGCCTAGTTCGCATTAAGCTAGTATTTTAGTCTAGTAGCGAGTAATTTAGTAACTGAACGTGTCTGAACACTAAAAATTTAGTCGATTAGTTTAGTAAGTAATTTAGTCGAGTCAATCCATTTTATTCTATTTTTTTGGGCGAGTAGCAGCCCCCACCACGCGTCTGAGCTCACTGGTTCACCGGCTAAACAAGTACGAACCTGTCGAATTAGTCGAGTTCATTAGTTGCCGCCATAACATTCATTAACAGAAAATTTACACAACTTTCGGACATTCTCAAACTATCGAAGTATTCTTTGGGATCTTCCAATGCTAATTCCTTCAGAAGACAATTAGTAGCTCCTAGTTTATCTTGTCTTTCGATCCATTTTCGTACCCATAGCTTCTTTTTATTAATCACACAAATTTCCTCATCCACCTCTTCTAAAATAGCCGTTACGATCAGCTTAATCAGTTTATTTACTTTATTGCGTTGTAGGCTGTTCATCTTTCAAAACACCACTCACTTGTAAACTGTACTCGACCAAAGTGCGAACGAGTTTTGGTGAGTAGCGAGTAATTTAGCTACTAAATTACTCGCTACTAGACTAAAATACTAGCTTAATGCGAACTAGGCTTTACAGCACTAGCGTAGCAAGTAGATGTGATGTGAAGTTAGTATTTTTTAACGGAGTGAAGTGTGCTGAATTATTATTACTTGAAAATAATATATAATTATATTGCTGTTTGCCTATGGTAGAACTATTTAGAAAAGTGCGCCACAGCAAAGCGGAAATCTTTCTTTCCTTCTTTAATTCACCTTCTTACTTTTATGACGTTATGTTTTAAACTAGCGACTCACCCTCGCCTCACTCGGGTTCGTCCCTGGATACTTTTTTTTGAGCGGAACTCTAATTCTTTTTTTTAAATAAAAGTAGCCTATATTACTCCCTATAACATCAGTTACCTTCCACTGAAAGTCCGTCAAAAACAGTCCAGCCGTTTCAGAGATTATTCGGAACAAATAGACAGACAAAAAAATTTAAAAATTAGTTTTTCTTATAAATACCGTATATAATTTCATATGCATTTAGTAAAAAGGTTTATTTTGACATTACAAACAGACACTACAATTTTATTTATCTGTATAGATGTATAGATTCATATGCTTGTTTTCTGTGGCGCCACCAATTTAATGCTTGTCAGCGGTCACTTTTTATACCAGAAATAGTTCTCCTTAGTTCTACCCTCCATATCTCTTTGGTACAGACACAACATGGCACGTCAAGTCAGCCTTAAGCCACAGATTAAGGAGACTGCCTCAAACCGCGATATTGCCTGTCCTGTGTTTTAATATTTTAATAATTTACCTATTAAAACGCAGTATTAGGGAATAGTATTTTAGGTAGTATGAATTGGATGAAGCAAACTAACTAATATGCAGTAAAATTTATAAATATTGTAAACTAAATGGTCTTTTACAAGCAACTACAAAACATCCTACAAGTTAAACTGCAGTAAAGTTATTAAATACTGCATGTCTTTTAGTTTTTCACAAGAAATTACAAAATCCCCCACAAGTTAATGTGCAGTATGGAATGTTAATACTGCACTTTAATTAGGAATATAAATAAAAAATATTTTTTCTTAACCTTTGCAGTATAATCAATTTGTATAGAGTCGAATAATACTGCATTTTAATAAGTTTTTTCTTGAATCTCCTAGAACAAACTACTATTTTAAGTGCCACAAAATATGATAAAACACTGCAGTTTAGTTAGGAAACAGAGAAAAATCTTGTGCAGTATTAATTGTACTGCGGTTTAGCTGGTAAACATGGAATATTTTAACAGATTTGTGATATTTTTGCTGTTACACCTTCCGAAAAAACATTAAAATAAAATACTTTTATTAGCGCTACAGAAAAAAGAATTAATTTGACTGATAGCTACTAAAATGGGGATTTAGAATATATATTTAACTCAAAACCGACCAAAATGCCTATTACTGCACTTTAGGCTCAGGTGGGCAGCATACATATTATAAATATAAGCACCCACGACTCGAGTACAAACATTCGTGCTCATCACCCAAATGAATGCCCAGCGGGACTCGAACCCGCGAACGCTGGCACAACAAGTAGGATCACTACAAACTGAGCCAAACGTGTCGCCTAATTTATTTAAGATATAAGTCATGAATCATGTGATCTTAAAAGATCGAAAAATTGTGAGCGAAAATTTTCATAATTTCTAAAATCCACCTCAATGCATCCGCCAGGTGCGATCTACTTACACTAAAGTCTAAATTTGATTTGAATGTTTTTAATATATAACATATTTAAAATATTTTAAGAATTTTGGTACAAGGGTTAATGAATTAAAAAACAGTTTCACTTAATTATACTTCAAATTGTAACATATCTCCCTCGTGAGATGTAAATAAAAGAACGATTAAAGTATAAACACTTTATTTTTGCATTTATGCAAGTTTTTACAGTAAATTTATATCAACTTAAGGCTATCATGTAAAATTTTATGGAATGTAATGAGTATATCATACTACAAAAGATAGAAAACTGGTTTACATACTATTCACAATACAAATATGGTAGAATTTTGCACCAATTCAAGTTTCTAATTAATTTAATATCCAAAGTTCACAAACTGAGATATGGCAGTGTGTTAAGTTTAATACCGATTGGTAAAATATTTTATACAAGAAAATCTGAAATTATCTATAATACTTATTCGTTTTAATGAATTCTAACAAATAGCATGATACAATCGTTTTAACAAGGCATAGTGTGATAAGTGGAAGTTGACGCAAGATATAAAAGATTCCTCTATACACATAATATGCGCTACGTATATATGTCGCAGTAAGATGGTTAAAAACGTAACATAATAATAACAAACGATGTCGCTCTGTACTCATGTGCTTACCTGATTAAAACGGACGGGTGCGTATTTTGTAATAATATTTTATTAGGTGATTTATTTTTCAAATACAAAAATAAAAGCTAATAAATTATTTATTTTATCCTTTGGTTGGTATTTAACCATTTCAGTAGATTACATTAGTTATAAATATCATTCGGGCTATATAATATGTGTTAATACTAATGAATGTATTCAGCCCTTTTTAACATCCCATTGCCGGACACGGGTCTCCAGTACTAGAGGGATCAGGCGATAGTCCACCACGCTGGCCAAGTGGGGGTGGCGGCTTCACATGCCTTTTGAAAACTTGCTAGGTTCTCTCAGACATCCAGGTTTCCTCACGATGTTTTACTTCACCGTTAAGACAAGTGGTAATCATATCGGAAATGATTTGATTACTACTAATATTGTTATGTATATCACGGTTTTTACTATCTTACTGACACATATTAAACCAGAAGAGAAAATATCCACCACACCAGAGATCAATTCACATAACACGAACTACAATGACGTGTGTATTTTATAAACATTGGTACATATTTTCAATATGAAAATGAATATTCCAAATTTCTAAAAAAAATTACAATGCCTACCAGCCTTTATTATTATGTTTTGATGTTGCGTTGTGGCCATAATGTCGATTTAAAATTACTTAGAATAAAGTCTGGTCTGAATTCTTTCTTAAATATAACTATTCAATAAATGTAGCCTTCAGTTATATAATATAAAAATTAATTATAGTAACCGATACAGAACTAGAAGGGTGAAAAAAGGACTATAAGTCGATACCGATAAGGCACACATTTCATGTGTACATACATATGTCGGGTCAACGATTGAGATCAGTAACGGTTAAAATAATTAATTCAAATCAGTACAAAAACAAATTATTATCTTTGGAACACTATTCAGTCCCTTTTCTTATTACTTAATTACATTATGAAACCGTTGCAAAAATATTATCTTACAATGATTAATATTATCATTAAAAATTTTACACACTGCTGCCTACTACACGCCTACACGCAACGCGCATCGATTATCACAGACCTCAAAACTGTCACAACATTTTTGTAATTCAGACACGTTTTTAATAAGGAAATAAAATTATAGAATTAATTCTACTAAACTAAAGAAATGGACAGAATCACGAACTAAATTAATACTCTTTTTTTATGATCGAACAATTATACACAGACATAAATAAAATAAATAGAGTACAACCGAAACTTTAAATAATAATTGTCATGCTCGCAATTTCCCTTTGGCACGAGAAAGAGAAATGAAAGGTAAATATTTTAGACAAGAAATAGTGTTGAGATCTCAGAAAACTGTATACAGATTTCGAGTTGCCCTAACTTACTAGCTACAATACCGTTAATGTGATCAAGAAGGTCCACCGTCCGCGGCCCACTCACACTCTGCACACACACGCGCACGCGCACTCACACCAGCGCCGTCAGACTCCCTGAACGAGAGTTTTTGCTGTTTTCCGTCTCGATCGTGCTCAATATTTCCTGTACACAAATATACATTATACGTTTTTGATGTGTGGAATATTTCAAAAATAATTTCATATCAGCTGACCCAACAGCGGGCCATAATATCTATCTTTTTTAATTTAATAATGATAATTATGTTTGATAAATATAATTGAAAATATTTAATTTTTAACTCTACAAATTGTCGATCAGCAAACTGAACTCTCTCAATCAGCTCAAAAAACTCAATCAGCAAACTGAGTTAATGCAGTTGAGAAGGATGAGGATGATATTCCACTCATTAAGGAGTCTGCCCACTACACCGTCTCATACCATGACCGTGCTATGAACGTATCAAGCGACACGGACTACTATGCCGACTAGAACGTATCATTCGCTTGTCATATCCGTATAGTTCCCGTTTCCTCAGTCGTAGTAGTTCACCTATGTTTTCGCGTGAGGCAGCCTCGTCAGGAAGAGCGAGTGAATATTTTTGTTACGAAAATTATTTCCTATACCTATACGATGGCTATTAGAAACTTGTCCGACGGAAAATTAGCAATGATAGCCATTGTTTTAGACGAGGAAGAAAGAGAATAACATCAGTCGATTACGACGTTATTAGGTTCAAGCCGTTTTAAAAAACAAAATTACAAGAAAATATTATCACTAGAAGACAAGTGACAACATGTTTATAACGGGCTTAGAACGGCTTCTTGCCGACAAATATTGTTAACTTTCCATGCACGGTACGCGACGGTGTTGGTTGGTGACGGAAAGGTCTTGGTCGGAGATGGAACGGTTTAGTGGACATAGTCTCATACTTTTCAATACAAAAGATCTTTTTTTGCCTGACACGGCCCTAGCACGGTTATGGTATGAGACGTTATAGTAGGCAGAGACCTTTAATTTAATTAAAGTGTCTATATAGTTAGTTAAATTTATTCTGTTTTTATTTCCAAGTTTGTATATGTCAAAATAGTGAAATAATAATAATAATAAAAGATTACTTTGATTGTTAAAAGTGTATAATTTATTCTAACGTAAATTATGATATGCAAGTAGTCAACTACCAATACTTACACAAGGATTGCTAAGTTTATATATAAGATAATTATCAAAAGATATTTTTATCTTGATAATTTCATACCCTGATAATTTGACTATCAAATTATCTCGCGGTTCACACGAGACACCTACTAAATTGCAACAATGAAGCAGCTCTTAGTTTTAGGTAAGATGACTGACATAATTCAGGTGTCTAAAAACAAAGGCGGCAAAGTCCCATATAATGTCAAACGTCGATTATTCGATTTTGTCCTTCGCGTTATTTAAGTTTCTTAGTTAACTCACTTGTTTCAGCATTAATATACAGTTTAAAACAAATGGTATCAAATTCATACTCATATAAATAAATTGTAACAGTAAATATGTAATATATTTTAAATGTTACTAGTTTTTTGTAAATGAAATCAAGTGGCCTTTGCCTCCTTTGTTATTAGACCCCTGATATGATCATGGTGAAATTATAAGGGTTCCTATATGTAAGGTTATATTATGTCTTTTGGTTACGGAACCCTAAAAAATAGTGTAGTGTGCGTACCTCCCGCGGGTCCTTCCCCGGCGGCGGCGCGGGCGGCAGCGGCAGCGCCAGGCGCAGCGCGGTCCAGAAGGCGCGCTCGTGCACGTGGCGCCACGCCACCAGCCGCGTGCGCCGCAGCACCGCCACCAGGCTCTCGCCCGACTCCTTCGCCTCGCGCTTCAGCTTCGGTAGGTCCTGTTAAAACCGCTTTTGTTATATAACCTAACAAACAAACCTGTCTCACGGGCATCGTATCTTTTTTCGGGATAAAAAATAGTCTATGTGTCATTTCAGGCTACAATCAATCTCTGTGTTAAATTTTATCCAGATCCGTTCAGCGGTTCTGGTGGTGGTGAAAGAGTAACAAACATCCATACTTATAAACTTTCACATTTATAATATTAGTATAGATTTAACCACAGATAATATAATTCCACAAGCATCTAATCCATATAGTCGATAACGTAGATAACGAAGGCGTCTAGACAGGGCCATCATGCAGGGCGAGCGAAGTAAGACGCGGGTGAGCTGTCATACGTACTTTTTTATGACAGTTACGGGAATCGTGAAATCACTGTAATCTGCCACAAGATGGCACTGCAGCGGTTTTATGTATAAACTGTTCCCTTTGAAGATACTTATTTGAATATACCTTGCATTTGGAGTGATTTCCGTTAAAATCAAAGTCTACCTACTGTATGGGGTTTTGTATTGTGGAATTTTGTTAATGGGAATGGGGTAATAAGAATCCATTACTTCTTTATTTTTTGTGTTGATTTTATAAATTAGAACATTATATTTAATTACATTATTAGAAATAAGTTGTTTTCTTTCAATAATTTTACATAATATACGACGACACGTTTGGTTCAGTCTATAGCGATCATACTTGTTGTGCAAGCGGTCGCGAGTTCGAGTTTCACTGGGGGCATTCATTTGTGTGATGAACACGAATGTTTATACTCCAGTCAGTGGTGTTTATATTTATAATATGTATGTATTTAAAGTTATATATGTACTATAGGGTATCAACTATCTGATACCCATAACGCAAGCCTTGTAGCTTACCATGGAACTAGATGGTGCTGTGGGTTAATGTCCCAACATATTTATTTATGTATATACAGGAAAACCATAAATACTACGCGCCTTCGATTGACGTTTAATGGGCTTATTTTTCCTTTCTGAATATAGCTTACACAAAGTATTTTAATACTTTCGGTTAGTATTAAGTTTCACATGAGCCTCAAGCGAGGTCAAATATAAGAGTATAAAAAGGTGTGTGAGGTGTGGTGTGTGCACCTGCAGCAGCACGACGACGGGCGGCACGGGCAGCGCGCGCAGCTGGCGCAGCGCCGTCAGCAGCTGCGGCGGCGCGTACTGCGCCGGCGACAGCACCGCCACCAGCGAGCGGCAGCGCGCCGCCTCGCCCACCACCTCGCTGTACCCTGCGACACACAACACATACATTATATCTCCTTTCAAAATATATAGTAACACATACATGTAATGTGTATTTAATATTTCAAAGTTTAAATGATCAAAACAATAAGAAACAAGTTTATTTTTGAATTGTTCGCGTTTTTATTCTGATTTCTAGTTCCCGACGTATTAGCGTGTGTGAACTACGTATGTGCAGTGCCTCACAATTGTCGGGCTGCGTGGAGAGCGTGGCGGCGTGCACGCGGTACTTGTACTTGAGCGCAAGCGTGGGCAGCAGCGCGCCGCGCACCAGCTCGCCGTCCACCGCCGTGCAGCACACCAGCACGTCGAACTCTTTCTCTAGCACTGCCAACACAAACATAACCCATCATTATATGTATATGACAATTAGATAGTTAAAATTGACTTCGAAGATTTAATTACATTGTTAGTCCAAATTTACAATTGGAGCTGATAAGAAGCGTTAACAAAATATCCAGCATATACCTCTAGCCCTGTGCGCGGCGGTGGCGGCGCGCGCGCGGGCGTGGCGCGCGGCCAGCAGCAGGCGCGGCGTGCAGCGGCGGTGCGCGGCCGCCAGCGACAGCAGCAGCAGCGCGCCCGCCGCGCCGCCCAGCGCCAGCGCGCGCCACGGCACCGTCCCGCCGCCGCACCACGACGACGTGTGCGACAACCCGTTATCTAAGCAAATGATCCGTTATCTAAGCAAATAATCCGTTATCTTCAATAAACCTTGATGTTTTTAAAATAGCAGTGTTAGGTTTATTTAATTTTACAGCCATTTTAATTCTGTACTAGATGATCCGGCATATGTTGCCAGCTTGCAATTTCAATTATGTATTTTTAATATTTAAGGCCATACAAAAATTGTATAGAAAAAAAAACACTTTCAACTTCTTTCGAAGTTTCATTTTTTTTCGAAAATATTACGAATATTTTAAAATAAAATTTCTTCTGTACGTGTGTTTGTCACCTTACTCCTCCTAAAGGGCTGGACCGATTTGGATGAATGTTTGTGTGTATATTTCAATGGGCTCTTGGATGGTTTCAAAACACTATTGGTACCCGGTAGGTGGCGCCGCTGTGCCGCTGTCGGTGTGTCAAAGAGTTCGTTTTTTTTTTAATAGTTTGAACGCCGGCGAAGCCACGGATGCTGCTAGTTATACACATATACCTAGATTTAATAGTCTAAATAAAAATTTGCTACGTTTAATTTCCATCAATCGATTGAATTTAAAGATAGGTACAGTAAGGCACCGATGGTGAGCTCTATCTACTTTATCTAATATGAACGTGCTTTCATTTAAAGCGATAGATTAATTAGTAATAACTATACGTATAGTAGATTTTGTAGATGAAAATGTTTGTGAAAAAGTGTTAAATTTAATATTTCTTTAAACAAAAATTCAGTTATCCAATGGAAACCACTGTTAGAAGCGAAATATAAAAAAAGCTTTATTAATTCGTTACGAATTCCTAAGCTTTATAAGATTATCTCAATATAAAAAACTTTCTATTTTATCTTTAACTAAAGTAAAAGGTAGAAGTAAAGTTCCACATTTTATAGTTCAAAGATTGAACAACGAACATCTTTTAATTTATTTTCGTAAGGAGTGTTTAAAAAGTAATAAATAAACCTCAAAATCCCAACCTTTAGCTGAAATAAAATTATAAAAAAATATATTAAATTATACGAATATTAACCTTAAAACTCTATCAGTCCATTAAAAGTTACGAAACTAATCTACGAACAAATATAGCTTAGTCGTTATAAAATGAATTTCTTAAAAATCACGTCACTGCTAAATGTGAAGTAATATAATTGGTATTTAATACCTGCCGCGATAAATTTAAAGTAGTCAACTTACATTTATAATGTAGGGTGACGTAGTTCCTGGACACCACGTCGTTGCTGTGCACGACGCACACGTACGTGCCGTAGTCCTGCGCCGACACTCGCTTTATGCTCAAATATGAACCGATTATATCATCTACATCATCCCTGAAAACAAATATGCTGTTGAAACGCTTACAATGTATAACATTTATGTATATATGTATTATAAATTGTATTACAAATTGAACTGATTTTTCATTTTTAATTTATATGAGAATTATATTTCGCAAGAGCATTACATTTCGCTTTTTCTAAATATTATCTTAAAGAGTATAAATAGATAATTATTATTAAAAAATAACGGACAGCAACTAACAAAGACATTTTTATATGATACATATATTATATGATACGTAGTCATTTCCTCTTTAGTGTTTTTCAGTCAATTACCTAGCAAGAAAAGTAAGCCCAATATTTTTCTTCGCACTCGAGTTTCGAATTCAAGACCACATACATAAATTTTAACTACTACTGTAGTATACAAAATTATCACTAAACCAACGAATCGAAACACACGCTAAGCTAACGGTTCCCTAATAAACTTGATAAGTCATTGTACATGAAAAGCCATCATTCGTTATCACGAGCAATCATAATCATAGAGAGAGAGCCTCATTTTTCCTTAACTCGGGCAAATTGAACTGGTCATTTCGTTAATGGATACTGGGTATAATAGACGTAATAGAGATGACATTACGTGCGCGCATTTCCGTGGAAACTTCGGACATGAGAAGGCAGGCAAGCGTTTAATGCATCAGTTATTCCCTGAATCATGTTCTAGGAATAAAATGAATTTGCAATATTTATTATAGCGAATCATCCTGCACCTGTCCATTTAACACTACGAAATTAGTACACCTATTATGAATACCACATATGATTGATCACTATTAAAATGTTAATTCGAAAAAACTTAATATAATTTTTCTATAAAATATAGTTGAGAATATTAAAATTAGTACTTCCGAAGGTTTTTTCTTTATTAAGTGTATGCACTATGCATCTTTAAACTACAATAACCTTTTCTGTAATCATATTATAAGCTGCTTTACAAGGAATATGATATTTGTTCGATATAGACGAGTAAAAACTGGAAGTTGCATGAAATGAATCGTAGTATTATTTAAATATATCCAATGATAAACTGATTGTAAAGAAGCAGAAAACAAGTGACGTGTCACTTCTTTTCCAGTGAAGCTATAGATGCAGATAATAGCTATCCGTAAGCCTTTAGTTCTACGCGTTTTATAATTTTAGAAGCCCTGCAATGGATTATATAGAACTTACCTTGTAGTCTTGATCTCGGTTTGTGTGGATAAAAGGTCACCCTCTGTGTTGTTAGGCCACACTTTCCGCCATCGAAGGTCGCTTGTTGCATCCGCTAAATAAGATCGACCTGCATACGTAATACATACAATATTTATATATAAAGAAATTTAATTGAAAAATGAGTACAGAGATAAAAGGTTATTATAACACATGCGCGTAAATTATGTGGTTGTATAATTGTTCTTTGCTATAAAAATTCAATCATAAATACTTAAACAGTTCTAGTGAACAGATGTTTTTAGATGCCACGCTGTTCTAAGAAAATTGCGATTGCTTTTAATGTAAAACATTGAATTCATTATGATGTTATGTTAATTTAAAATGTACCAAACACAAAAAAAATATTATTTTTAAAAGTGCATATTATGTTGAAGATTTAGAGTTTCGTTGCATTATTTATTACATCGTGTTAAAAATAATGCAACACCTAATAACATTAATCCAGTATGTAGATTCCCTTACTTTAATAGGAGTCGTTATGAGTAGCGGCTAAAAATAATCTGAGCTAATTCTTCGAAAATTGCTGGCAGGGATCATTGATACAATAAATAAGGAGCGTATATATAATTATTATTAGATAGTATTTATTCGAAAGTGCAGATTTACCAATCAACGCTTCGCAGAAGAGGCGCAGCTCGCTCCCTTCCTCCACCCACTGGTCCTTCGAGATGAACATTGTTTTCGGCGCATCCGTTGGTTTTTCTGTGAAGAACGTCATTTGATTTGTTTAATTAGACAATGCGTAGATATCTGGTAAGTATTTGTGCGAAAGCCATGAAAAGTTTACCTGTTCTTGCTTATTAAAGTGAAAGTTTCGTATTGAGAATGTTACTTTCTTTAAACTACATAAAATGGTAACGGAAGAATCTAAGCGTTACTTTCAAATGAAAAAGAAATGGTTTTGAAACCAGTGCTAAAAAAAAAGTACCTACTAAATATTTTTATATAGGAACTGTCACTATTTGCTTACATAAACAACTACATTAGGTATATTAATGATCAAGTTATTTTTTACAAATAATAACATATTTCTAAATGTTTTACCTAAAATATCAAGTCTAACAGTGTGCGTTTCGCTATGAGTTTCATTGCTGAGTCTGCAAGTGTAGTTGCCAGAGTCGGCACGTGCTGCGCGCCTTGTATACAGTGTTTGATTCGCAGCCTCTGGGTATAGGATAAGGTTGGACACCCCAGCAGACCACGGGTATGCCACTCCATCTTTAAACCTAGTAAAAAAAATATGTTAGGTACTTACTTAAAGACAAGACAAGCACAGATGACATAATACTATACTAGTACAGATGCCCCATTCCGTACAAAAAAATGGACAAGGCTAATTAATAAATGTGTGTAAATTCAAATATATATTGTAAAATTCATTCTAAATTTAATTAAACAAATTTCAGTGATTTTGACACTTTAACCATGGTAAACAATTCATAAAAAGTAAGAGCGCTATCTATGAATATGCACTACAAACCCACTACTGATTTACACCTGAATGCTGATTTTTATATAGTCAGTAAGTAAAATTATGAAAATTTGATTAACAAGCGTATTATTTCGTTTTCGTTAATTTACATTTTTTTTACAACCTTAATATATGTATCTTTTTGGGATTCTATTTTTTCTTTTTTTATCGATTTTAACACAAACATCAATAACAAATCGATACAGATTGACATTTATTTGAAAGTTTAGTTAATATTAATTATTTTTTTCAGACAGACGGATATGATGAAGCCCAAAGATTTTGTTTTATATATTGATTTATACTAGATATAAAACTTTAAAATGTACCCACCCTATAACATTATGAATAGTTATAATATTGTTATATATTCTTAGCTTTTACTTAAATTGAAAGCCGTTATTTTGATTTCCCCATTTAAATATTATACTACAAAAAAAATGGGATTAGGTACTTTTGCATAGTATTTCCTAGATAACGGTGAAAAAAGTCTTTTTACTCTAAGATCTATGAAGCTTGTCTTGGCTAATTTTATCTTAATCGGTACATAGTTTTGCATTTACTATAAAAAATTAGAAAAACCCTTTCGTATCCTACTAATATTATAAACGCAAAAGTTTATAAGAATGTATGTATGGATGTATGTTTGTTACTCTTTCACGCTAGAACAGCTGAACGGATCTGGATAAAATTTGGCACAGAGATAGGTTATAGTCTGGAATAACACATAGGCTACTTTTTATCCCGGAAAAATATATAATTCCCTAGGGAAAGAATTGTTTTTGTTATTCTAGAGGTAGTTTACAATAATTGTATAAAGATAGTAAATGAATAAAGGTAAAATTGTACACATTTAAGATTATTTAGATTTTTATCATATATTATTAGTCAAAGGTAACAAAAACGGGAGGTTGCTAGGCAGGACAGACGGGTAAAATAAGAATTTAATTCGTATGAGCATTTATATCCATATCGTGTGTGAATTACAACATATGGTAAGTTGCTTACATTTCTTTTAAAAATGAATTCAATCCACCAGTGAAGATACATATGAGTGTAATGTGAGGTTTCAATCACTACGTTATTTTTAAGCGGTAACCTAATTGTATGTCAATTTTTAGTTTTGCCCACGATATGTATGATTTCATTATACGTGTAAATCACTCAGAGAAGTGTTCTCTGTATATAAACACATGGATGGAGATGAAAAATGCAGGGATTAAACATAAAAACTAAAAAGTCAACCTCAGTAAGAATTTACAGCATGTTATAATATAAGAGAGAAAAGATAGCATGTGTTTTGCATATTTGCAATGTCAATTTAATTTATAATGAAACATAAAACATTCACTGAGACAGAGTACTTAATTCTTGGTATATAGTAAAGGTTACAAGTGACGACCTAAAGTATCTGTGTTGATCTAATGTACTATAATGTGCGACTGGTATAATGCATTTACAGCTGCCGATGTCAGCTGTTCCACGAATTGAACATTACAATAATAATTTACAAGTAAAATCAGGCTTCACAAAAAATTAGGGGACATTTCGCAAGACAATTTATCTCGTTGACAGCCAGTAAGTAGGTACCTTAGAATTAGAAACGACGAAGCCCAATTATTTATATTCTCATAATTCGGGCAGAGCATAGCAGCTGTAAATCGTTCAGGGAACGGGGCTTGCGCAAACAAAACGTCACGAGAAACTAACGATTCCCGCGAACAGTAAAATTTTGCGGTAGCCGTTTTTGAATCGTTTGTAAGTAAAACAAACATTTGCACGATGTTTCATCGCAAGGCCGCGTGGGGATCGTTTCCGAGAATCGGCGTCGGAGCGCGACCTGGTGAATATCCATTAGGTAGATCCACCGGTAATATCCGCTTATGTATTTACGAAGATATACAGTGCCACATTACACGTAACTGTAACGTGAAACAATACTTGAACAACTACAATATCAACATTCAAATGTAACATTTACAATCTCTTCATACTCCTTATAGCCATTTAATTCAGACTACTCACTCATTACACCATTTCTGAGAATAATAAAACGTATATTATGATTAGTGCAGTCCCTGGGAGAACGCTGCTAATATTTTTATATCTTTTATGACAGTGAATCATGCGTAGTGACTATCGTTGCAGTTACATTTATTTATATAACACAATTCTTTATAGGAACAGTTATTAAATGTATTTGTAAAATATATTATAATAAACAATAATAAAGGTTAAAAAAATAAAAGTCCAAGAAAATAATCCTATTGTAAGCGAAGTCATAACGCTATCTGTTCCACATAACTGTGTGTCATTGATCATTATTTTTCCGCAAGAACGAAGATTCGAAGAAAAATTATTGAAACGAGTTGTTTTACACGCACGCGGTTTTGCCAACGGAAATCTATAGCTTTGTAACAAAGTAAATGGAAAAATAAAATAAAAATGAATGCAGAGTGCGACGCACTTTGTAGGCTCCGCATTGCATTTTTTTGTATCACGGTGCAAATGTTCATGACGTGAGACGTCTCCAGTAACTTGAGGGCAATTATTTTGAAATTAGTCTGTCAATGTATCATTTTTTTCGAAGAACGTTTATGGGGAAGAGATGTTTTATGCGTGTTCCCTAATTGAGTTTAATAACACAAAAAAAAAAAGATTTATATTATGTAAAATAAAGCTCTTTAAAATTTTAGTACACCAAAGATTCAAAGAATGATCCAAAACATATGTCATTGTGCCTACGTGATGAAATATACATAGAAATCACGTTATATAATGGCATATCCATGAAACAGTCTCCACATGTAAGGGGGTATTCTCGAACGACTTCCCATCCACTATGCAGCGAAAGTTCTTTGTTTTACCGGGTTGTAATTGTTGCCAAAGTATTAGGTACATACTAATAATGCCAAAAGTAACAAAAAAACTGATACACTTATAAAAAAATGCAATTTTACTATGGTCTTCCTTTCTATTGCACAATAATATATGTATAAATATAATAGAATTGTAAAATAAGTAGAAGTTACAAAAACATGAAGTAAACTCATTTACAAAACTTCGACAGCATCCCATTAAGTAGAGCTTTCTTCATTAAATTCAAAAAACACATGAGGTTTTAGAATAAAATTAAAAAAATCGACGATGAGGTCATTGCGTCTTGTCCGGCCATGCATCTTGCGAATATTTCCGAAAGGCGAACCGGTCTTTGACCCGCGTGTCGGGTTGCAGTCAGGATCCAGCCACAAATCATTCGTGCATCCAACCGACACGCCACAAAGAATACCTATATATACTTTATAGTAAATTAGTGATTTAAATTTTGAACGTTAAGTCCGCTTTAAATCTGTCAAAGTTTATGTATTAGTGATAGTCTCAATTTATGTTTCGAATCAAATAATGGAAAATAAAAATCAATTGTGTTCTTTATGAGTTATTAAAACCTTTACAAACTGCAGTCTTATATTATTGCGTTGGAATGAAATACTCGTAGTATAGTATTTTTAAACTGATATGCGACATAAAGCTTTAAACTATAGAAGTGTAACATAATGAAAAAGCCGAGTATACCATCATTATAAATACACTAGCGATCCACCCTCACTCCACTCGGGTTCGTCCCTAGTTACGAGAAGTTTAGTATAGATTTCGCAGACATCAGATATTTTGCCGCAATAAAGGGTACCTGTTGAGCAGGATCACCAGCTATCATCATACCAAATTTCATCAAAATCTGTCCAGTGGTTTTCTCTTGATGTGGTCATAGACAGACAAAAATTCTAAAAACTATAGGTTCGGTCTGTGTATTGATAATGACTATTTCAATAAAAAATTTCAAAAAAAAAAAAATTTACAAATTCGACTTTGTTAGAATTTTATTATATGTATAGATATAGATATAATAGTAAAACAAAAAAAATGTAAAACCTAAAATTGTTGTTATTTTGTTTACGCGATACAGCAGAAACGTGAGACAACGCATGAGGCCAGCGTAATAGTAGTACTGTAGCTTCCCCGGTCTCATAATTTATCTAATACCCAAGGTCGATTGGTAGTAATAAGTACCTAAATTCGCCACAAATAGTACATATATATTATAGTCGTATTCTAGAGAAACATAAAAATTAAAAAGATATTTTACGCATATTAAAATTTTATTTATTTTTAAAAACAAGTTATGACGTTCATGAAAAAAATCTAATGCCCATTATATAAGGAATTATGATAAGCTTGATAGTTATATATCCGTCCATTTATGCGCAGAGCTTGAGTGATTACATGACTGGTTTTAAATGTTATAACATGAACAGGATTTGGAAAATCCTAAGGAAAATAACATTGTCAAGAGCATGTTCGATTACTATTGAGAGTTATATAAAACAAAGTGAAATGAAGACGTCAAAAGGATAATATAAATTAAATTGAGTATTTTACATATATTTTAAGCAAAATTCAATTAAATCAAAAACAATTTGCATTACTTTTGTTATTTAAGATTCGTACAAATTTACAATACCAATACACAATATACTAACTAATTAGACATCAACAAAGTTGTTAACACCTAAAAACGTAAGCTCTTTCTTTGCCTTTTGCTTTCTTGGCATTCACATGACAAAACTTCTCTGAAATGGAAGCAATTATAGGAGTTTCTTGCGATATGTTGTCACACGCGGGTGATGATGGAACGAAATCGGTCTCAGATCGCCCCGTAATCACATGTCTGTTCGACACGCTCCGCTGACAATAATG